TCAGGAAAGAGAGGAAGAAGGTGTATGCTCTCAAGAAAGAGAGGAAACACAACCACAACAAGAAAGTGAGGTATTACCTGATGCAAATCCTCGAAGAAATATGGAAGATCGACAAGGACTATTTTTAGTCAGGCAACTCAAACCAGAGCACAGACAGATCCTCCATGATATTACACTCCAAGGCCAAACAATCCTCACAGAAGATGATCTTGAAGGAAGTCGACCCCTTGAACGTGGTGACATAAGCTTCTTCTCATTATGGTTGATGATGTCAGCATTATCAGATGCTTCTTTTTCAACATTTATGGAGCAGTATGCACCTATGATGGGTTATGAGATCTCTTACGACAAGTACTATGAGTTCAAACTGGATATTGACAAAGTTCTCAAGGACAATGAACACCTTGGCGCAGAAAATTTCTTTGGAGCAGAGGATCCTCAGATGGTGGACGATGATCCAGAGACTCCACTTCCAGATCTTCAAAGACCAGGCGCAGGTGATCCTGAGTACAAGCATACCATTGAAAGTTTGAACATTGAGGACAAACATATCATTTTGGAAACTGATGATGACAAATTGGTTGAGTGTACATTGAAATGGATCAGTATGTGCAATCAGAATGTTCAACGAAAGATCAAGGAAAGTTTTGTCAAACCAGAAGAACGACAAGAGGAAGAAGAGAAAGAAGAGGATGAAGATGAGGAGATTGCTGTCGAAGAAGAAGAAGAAGAAAAAGACACACAGGAGCCACATGTCCCAGCTGAAGGCTCTTCAGAGAAAGAGGAATCAGCTCCACCTGAACGCTCCTCAGAGAAGGAGGAATCAGGGGAGAAGAAAACAGACATTCAAGATGATGAGACAGCTCCTGAAGTGAAACCTGCAATTCGACTTTACTATGGTCAAGATATCACTGGAAACGAAGATGATTCAGTTTTTCGAAAATTGAAGGATTGTTTTTCAGATGGTTACCATGGTGAATGGGCAGGATTTTACAACAAAGGTTATCCAGCGTCTTCGAAGCATCGACATATGTTTTGGCATGTTAAGTACAGGAAGACCATGTCTCCACATCATGATTTTTGGTACCATCTTACAGATGACCAGTTGATGGTTGAGTACATTGCCAGACACAAGAATCAGGATCCACAACTAGAATTACAAGAACTTAATCAGCGCATTGAATATGGTTGTAGTGATCCAAGGATGCATCCTCTTCATCAAGACAAGGCAGAAAGATCCTCAAAAGAAGCAGAACAGAGGATTGATGACGATTTTGGAAATCTCACAAAGGTACTCCAAGATTACGTTGAGGAACACAAGGTCTTGCCTTACTGTATGATCTTGCATAGCTTGGCTTACAGGTACTTAGGTGGAGGCCTATCAGACCCAACGTACAAGGATGCTGAATTTCCATACAGATCCTCTCCACAGATAACAGCAATGTTTTGGAATTTGGGAAACTGGTGCAGAAACAGATTTGAAAAATGCCCGGTTCCAGAAAGATTTCAACAATTCATTCCACACATTGACTACACTATCGATGAGGATCATGAAAAATTTGATGAAACCAAATCACAGTTCAACAATTACTTCATCAATGTCATCAAGAACTTTGGAGGACATCTTTTCATGAATTGCAAGGCTGGTTCGTTGTATCCTCACAGAGAAAGACTCAACGAGGTGGACTTCAAAACTTGCTTCAATGACTATCATGACTTGATGGTGGCCGCTCGCCTTGGAAAGGATGGCTATATCAAGCAAATTGCTGGATATCACACAGATGACAACGACACACGAGTTCGACAAGTCTCATGGGCAATCTTTGAAGTATCTTGGGGAAAGACAAAGGATCGAGATACAGATGAGATTGTTGACTTGACAAGAGCTAGGATGAGAATGACACGTGTGTGCGTTTATCACGTCGGACAGAAGTATGCATCAGACTCTGCTGGGATTGTTGGTGAGTGCTTAGCTGTTATGGCTTTTGAGTGTGCCAGATATCAAGTTGACTTCATCGCAGGTGATGGAAACAAGGCATGCTATTACAGCACACCAAAATCTCCAGGTGTCCCTACATATCAACACAGCCTTATCCAATTCTGGATTAACAGAATGGTAGGTGTTGCAACACAAGCCATGCGCAAGAATTTTGATCCAACTTGCCCTCCAATCAGGGTCAAGCATTTCATTTCTTGCAGTTATCGTGACTTGGATTTTCTTGCAACGCACTTGGATGGCATTACAACAGCAACATACACCGACGAGCTCATGAACAAGACAAATGGTAAAGGTGATTGTTGTATGTTAACAGTTGTTGAGTGGGGTCATTCACGTTTGATGTGTGAGGAACACCCAGAAGACTTTGAGGATGAAGATCACATGAACTATGTGGGTGAATTTTACTTCAAGGTAAATGAAACTTGCTTACATGGTGATCACAACATCTTCATGGTTGCTCCAAATGATCGCGATGCTCATAATCCAATTCTTATCCATCTTGATCCTTCTGATATGTCATGGAATGAACGACATCATTACAAACAGGCCTACAAGAAGAAGCAGTATGCTGATTCAAGAAAGGAAAGACAGAAGGAGAAAAAGAGAAAGGCATATGAAGATCAAGCATCGACGTATCAGGGCAACACAGAGTGGGGTGGATCCTCATCTTCAGCGTCCAGACCATGGAGATCAAGTGAGTGGCGATGAGTGAGTGTACACTTCTTTAATTGAAGATAACACAGCATGAGAAGCCGTGTACAGTTTTTCTGTGCGTTCAACTTATTTCACACAGATGGCATATACTCTTTTAGATAGAGATAATGCCACAAGTGTCTGAACTTCAATTTAATGTAAAATAGAGACTCTTGTAAATAGAGATACTATATACATTTATCTCCATGAATCATCCGGCGAGCAGACCACTCCGAATGGAGCGAACTTCAAAAATTTACCAACTTCGATTTCAGTCCATTGTTTGCTTGAATGAGCAACTTTGGAGATCCGCTATTTCCGTTTATTTCGTGATTTGGTCAATTGTTTTTCGTATGACCTGAATTTCTGAATCTTGCGAACCCGAACTTTTCAATTCGAACTTTCACCGGTAGAGCGAGGCATTTTGCCTATGGAGAGACCGTGCGCGAAGCACCATTGGTCGCTACTGGAAAAATTAGCGAATCCGCTGTTCTTTTTCGACATGTCCTTAGGACATTCGCTGCTTTCACGTGTTTTTCAATTCGAAGCCACTGCGTAACTCCGGTTTCTTTTGCTATTTGCCATTGTGTAGAGAAGTCAGGAAGATACTCTTAATACCAATTGGGTACGGCAAGGCGTAGTGCTCTACTCATTGCTTTTGAATTTGTGCCTGTGTTTTTGTTTCGACCTAATACCTACATAGGTACATGCATGAGTATTGAGCACATTTATATGCGCCTTCAAGGCTCGAGAAAGAGGTATATAGAGTAACCCTGTAGACAAGCACTGACCGGCAACAGGCTGAGAGTAAAAGAGTGCTGTCATTGGGGAAGACGCCTTAGCTGATCTTGAAGTAGACGCTAGGGCCCCTCTTCAGCCCTCCCCCCCAATCCCCCCCTCCCGCTTTTTTTTAACTATTTAAATAAAAAAGAAAGACACTTTTCAATACACTATATAGTTTGATTCGACTATATTCATATTTATGTTAAAATTTATGTGTATATATATATACATATATCTAGACATATATATATATATAGACACACATATATATATGTATATATATATATGTATGTATGTATATATTTGCATTTATATATATGCACTTATATATCTATATATATATGTACTTATATAAATGTATATATATAAAAATTAATATGTATATACATATCCATGTAAATATTTATATAATTGTGTATCTCTCAGTATATATATTTACATAATATATATATATAAATGTAAATATATATATATATTATAATTACACATACATATTTACTTAAAGATATACAGACGTATATATATATATATGACATATTTGTGGTTGTTTTTATACACAGCTTTGATCCCAAAATAAACTACAAATAATCACGTAATTATACCTACATGTTGTATCCCTAAACCCTAAACCAAACCCTGCATATACATACATACATGCATACATACATACCTACCTACATACACCTTGAGTATCACATTCAACCCAGCACCTTGCATGTGAAAATAGGTGTTTCCAATCTGCATGTATGAGCATCGCGTTATGGAGCAGCTTGCTTGCTGGGACTCGACCCTTTATTCGGTATCTGTTGGGATCTCAAGAGAGTTCTCCAGACGTGTGATCGCCTCGCATGTATGAGCATTGCGTTATGGAGCACCTTGCTGGGACTCTCCCTCTGAGTCGGTATCCCAAGAGTAGTTGTGATTTAATATGCGCTGGTATCTGTTGGGATCTCAAGAGAGTTCTCCAGACGTGTGATCGCCTCGCATGTATGAGCATTGCGTTATGGAGCACCTTAATGGGACTCTTCGTCTGAGTCGGTATCCCAAGAGTAGTTGTGATTTAATATGCATTGGTATCTGTTGTCTGCTGACAGTCGACCTTTTCTTCGACATCTGACCCTCCCTCCCCTGTCTCCAGACACGTACGAGTCACTTGTATTAGCATACCTCGGAATTTTCTTGTTTGATACGGACCACCTGGATATTGCGGACAGATCGGCAATCGACATCTGACCCTCCCTCCCCTGTCTCCAGACACGTACGAGTCTCACTTGTATTAGCATACCTCGGAATTTATTTTTTTTTTGATGCAAATTTTATTTTTTTTTTGATGCGTGTACCACGTTGAAATCTTGGACAGTTCCATAGAAGTCCAGGGAAATATTTTTTTTTTTGATGCAAATCAATTTTTATTTTGATACTTATGGGGATATTTTTTTTTTGATGCGTTTTTATTTATTTTTGATCCTTCACCCGTCCTTTTGATGCTCTTCCACCTTTTACGCGTCAAAGTCTGAAATTCGAGGCAAAGCGGAAGATGATCCCGACTATGCGGAGCACATGCATTTGGAGGCCAGGTGTAGCACGCACGGTGAAAGCGAAAAAAAAGGAGGATCCAGCCATCGGTCTGGTCACTGGGGTGTAGCTGCCTATTCTTGAAATCTTGGTTTTGTCTTGAAAATTCGTTTAGTGTTAATCAAAATTTGAGTGTTGAACATGACCACAGGATATAATTAGTCCATAATATCAGATTAGACATGTGAAGTAGGTTTTTTAGATATGAATCAGAATGGATTATCTTTCTGGAGGAGAAGTAGATCCAAGATTTTTGATTCTTGGAGGTAGCTCCCATGACATCCTGGGGGCATCCAGGTGTCTTCTGGCTTCCGTTGGATCGATTTTATTTGGAAGGCGCTGGATGGATACAGCTGGAGTTTTTTGACTGTAAGTTGGCAAAGTAAGTTGGTGGTACAGTGTATATATATATATAATTATATAATCTATATTGAAATATATATAAATATATTATACATATATATATATATATAATGCTATATTATATATATACAGTGTATCTGTACATATGGCGATGAAAACTTGTGGTTCATTAGCGGAATTGGAGGATGGTCATCAAGCCATCAATAGGGATTTATATCACCATTGTAAGGATTCCAATTGTGGGATGGATGACCACCACCCCAAAACAATGAGTATTGACCACGGCAAATATATGTTGTTGTTAGATTGTGGCCACCTCATGCGTCAAGCAGTGCTCTGAAATCAGAAATCAACGCTTCCAGGATGTGGCCTTATGGCTGAGGAGGATTTTTTCTATTATGAACAGTGAGGTTACCCTCTGGTAAACTAATATCACTATGGAAAATCACAATTTTAATGGGTAAATCCACTATAAATGGCCATTTTCAATAGCAATGTTAGCTTACCAGAGGGTGACAGTTTGCTGGTAAACGTTTACATAACTATGGAAAGATCCAGCATGCTATTCATGGGAAAATTCACGAACTAAATGGTGCTTTTCCATAGTTATGTAACAAATTACCAGAGGGTAAGAACCTCATAATCAATGATTGCGTTGAAAAGGCGAATCCTGGATGTGGACCCAGGACTTGGGTTCCAGTTGCTACCAGAGATTCCCGAGCAATTTTTGCTGAATCAAACATGCCAAATGGTTTGGTAAAGCCAAAGAACGGGAAAATTTTCATACTCCATCTTTTGCGATACGTGGCAATATATGGGAATGTAATATTCATAAGTGTATGTTACATTTATGTTTGAAGGATGTCTAAGATTGACCATGGATGACCAGCATCGCGGACCCCCAATCATCCCTTCTGGGGGAGAATATCCCCTTCTTTCATCTGTGATGTGTGCAACAGCAGGTATGCAGCATATGCATTATACATCAATTACAGTATCTATATATTTATATCTAATATATATATACATATCCATGCAGGTATATATATATATATCAGTGTATATATATATATATACATATTATATATATACATATATATATATATTATACTATGTTATATATACCGCGGATATCTAACCAAGTACCAGAAGCTCACCGGTCAGGTCTGGAACAGCACTCCAGAGGATGAAGTGCGTCTGGCTGGTCTGGATGGCTGGTCTCTCTTGGTGCCTCGACTTTTTTCGCGGCGGATGGCCGGTGCTGTCGATAGGTGGTGAAAAATGTCTAAAGCTGGTCGTTTTCATTGGAATGATACAGGATTTATGGAGGATTGTTGGAATGATACCCTCTGGTAAACTAACATAACCATAGAACATCACCATTTTCAATGGGAAAATCCACTATAAATGGTCATTTTCAATAGCTATTTTGACATAACCAGAGGGTATTGGACTATTGAAATGATGTTTTTTTGGTACTAAAAGGAGGGATTGATATTGGAATGATATTGATAAGCACTGTATGAGAGGCCTAAGTTGGTGTGAACAACTAGGCCAAGCATTGGATGTATAGAGGATATATCGAAGGTTCCCTTCCAGTCATGTAGCTTAGATTTTCTTGGTATTCATGGAGGAATATATGAGATTGTCCCGGAATATCGAACTCCAAGTGGATAGAGACTTGAGTGGTATCCCTGGTTATCTGTGGCACAGATGACATCAGATGACCATCTCTGGCTTTGATCTTCAATATCCCCAAGGAGGATCTGACCTTGTGATGATTCCCGGAGAGATCAAAGAAAAGTTGTTTCAGCTGAGATTACTTCATTTTGCATCGCTGAAATCATGCCCTGATGGACTACCCTCTGGTAAACTAACATAGCTATGGAAAATCACCATTTTTAATGGGAAAATCCACTATTTTTATGGTCATTTTCCATAGCTATTTTGACATAACCAGAGGGTAATGTTTTACCACCGAATTGCTCAACTGAAAGCGCATCTAAAAATTGCAGCAGCTGAGGAGTTCGTTCGCTTGAATCTCCGCATCATGACCATCGTGGGTCCCTTTCTGCTGGCTGTGGTGTTGCCACTGCATTTCTTCTTCAATACCAAAGAGCTTCTGGGCGCTGAAATCTGGAATTTTCCCTTTCCAAAGACTTTTGTTTGATTGATTTGTCAAAAGATATAGAAAGGAGGATGCTTTTTGAGTCTCATGGTCGGTTGACCAAAGTTTAAAAGGATCAGAAAGAAAGCACAATACATACTTTTTGGTAAACTAACATACTTGTAGCTATGGAAAATCCACCATTTGTAGATGACGAAGTTACCTATGAAAAATGATGATTTTCCACAGCAAACTGTTGAATTACCAGAGGGTCTTCCCCCCAAACGAATAGATATTCCAGAATAGATTCAATAGATATTCCCAGTCGTTAGATTGTAGGTCTCCCCCAACAAACAGATTAGTTCATAGATGGATGTGGGTCAAAATGGAAGACCTAAGAAAACCACAGATGTTAGTCTAGTTTAGTATTCACCATCCAATTATTGGGGTACCTAATTTTGACCCATACCCAGATTGCACAGATTTGTTGGGGAAGCAAGTTGAACCAAGAAACAAAGCGCCAGGTCTCACAACAATTTGGATTGGCTCAGCTGTCTGGATATTGGCAACTTGCCCAGAGAAGCTCAGCAAAAAATGGTCCATTAAGGTCACCAAGGTCCCAGGATGTCCCCTTGGGGACCCAAGATGCACAGACCCAGGGGACCCCAGGGGATGGTGTTTCTGAAAAACCCATGCTGGGTTGTTATTGCTGTGCCAACCATTTTCCAAATTTTCTGGTACAAACATGTTGTACCATGTTGTAGCTAATTTTGACCATATCTGTTTTGTAAGACCGGTCAATGGCAACTCAATTGTCCATTTTTTCTTTCTTTCATGGCCGGGTTTGTGGACGGTCCGATTGTTTCTCTGTTTCTGTCTCCCCGTTGGCTCAAAAGTTGCTGGACTCCATGTGGTTGTGCCACCACTTGATGCTGCTTCATACCCCCATGTTTGTTCTGGCCTTGCTTTTTTTGCTGCTAACATCCGAACACATATCCAGACAAGGTGGTGCCCCCCAGTTACAAGTTGGTTCATAACTCCCATTGACTACAGGTATATGTACAATAGACCCAAGTGGAACTGGAGTTATTGGCACCAACTTAGCTAACCATGGGGCACCATTTTTGCGGTTGCTCGGTGCCACACCATTTGGTGGTGTGGGGAGCCAGCCAGCAAATCCCATTTTTTTTGGGGGGGGGTACTTGGGGGTGGAGGCCCGGGGTGATTAATGGGTAAAACTATGGTAATAAGAGACTGTCAGTGACTGTCAGGCGATAATCTCCTACATGTGCATCTACATTTAACTGGGGTAAATATCACATTTACCAATGGATAAACTAGCCATAATAATTTTAGTGTAATTTTGATCACATTCAATACCACTTGGGAAAACGGTTTGTCCTGAAACACAGTATACGGCAAAAAACGCCAAAAAATGGCAACAAATGGCAACTTTGATGAGAACATTCATGGTAAACTACCATGTAGGTTTGGGGTATTATATTATATTTGTCATACATCTAATGGTAACGGAGGTAACCATCTAATGATACATAGGGTATTTACCCCAAAATGTATTGTATCTATGACTTTCATGTATTATATTTTTGAGTAAATCAAAAATACTCTTTCATACATCTAATGTTTTTCTAAGGTGATCATCCTCTAAAAATGACCGTCCGGCAATGAAAAGTGGCAATCAAACGCAACAATATGGAATATCCCCCATTGATAGATAATATTCCCATATGTTCTTAGTATATTTTTTTCCATTCAAACCTCTATTTATAGATGATTTTCCCATTTATCACCAGAAATGAACGAAAACAGGTTGATGAAATGAAGAAACATCGGGGTTTTCTGGGGCTTGGAGAGGACGATTGGATGCTTTGGTTCCATGCCGCCGTGGTGTGGTTCGTGGTGTTGATCAGCGCCTGGCAGAGACTCGGTTCTGACTGACTTTGGGGATGGGATCTGGTTGGAAGCAGCAGAAGATGATTATGATTTAGTGATTGTCAGGTGTACCCTCTGGTAAACTAACATAACTATGGAAAATCACCACTTTTTTATGGGAAATTCCACTATAATTAAATGGCCATTTTCAATAGCTATGTTAAATTACCAGAGGGTATCTTTATTATCATCGCTATATATAATTATATATATAATATGTAATAATATGTATATATTAATATAATTTATTGTGGGACAGTATTTGATAATGAGTTGTTTTATCGTTATTATTATTGATACTGTTATTATTATTATTATTACCAATGACTGTAGTGACGATTTTGCGTCGTATATACCGCACAGAGCCAAGACGCTTGAGCCAACTAGTCGGACATGAGTTGGGCGCGATGGCGCGATGGCACCAAGCGCGTGCAAAAACCACCAATCCTATACATATACAGATACATATTACATAAAATATTCATAATTATACATATAGATATGCATAATAGATACATAATATGATAATCCTGTTTTTGGTGGGGAACCCCGGGGTTCCAGACCACCGACCCTGAAAAAACGTGCCCCCCAGTTGAAAGTTGGTTTACAACCCCATCTAAAATCATCGTCAGAACCGCCATAAACCCAACAGTTTTTGCAACAGTTCAATTCCAAACTATGCGGTGCTACCTTGCAGCCGGGTACATGCGGGAATGACCAGTTAATGGACGTGGAGGGATGACATTGTCCACCTGTAATAAGTGGGTCAACATCTTTAACCCCCAGTTATGCTCGAGGTTAAAAAAAAAGTCAGCTCCATGGCCCATTGAAGTAACTCACGCAGTAAACATTTTGGGAAAACCACCAAATTCAAGAGTTGAGATCCAATTCCCATCTATTACCCTGTTCCCTTATGTTCCCTTACCCTGCTTTGTTGGTCATAGTTCCATTTATATACCCATTAAATCCAATATCAATCTGTGCTGCTTAAAGTCCCATTCTTCTCGATGAAATACCAATCTTTTGCTATGGACTTAGCTGACAAAGTCGGTGAATTTCTACATCCCAATTTTTGTGAGTTAAATACCAAATGCCACCATTAACTATTATAGATATATCTACCATATTAAAAAAAATAGATCTGCTAGTGATGAACAAACTTAGCCAACTAAATCCGATTAAAACCCACTTAAATCATCCTCCGCACCCTCGTCCTACAAGGATCAGTCTGGCGCACGACGGCTTTACGGAGCGCCGGTACCAGTGGCTCTCCACCGTGCCACGGCCGCGCTCGACCACGGTGATGGTACGCAACATCCCGCCGATGTATCGCTCGGATAGCGCGCTGAAGGAGTACTTCGACCGGGTCCCTTGGATGCTAATGGGCTCGGAGAGGGTATTGGTGGTGATTAAGCAGCAAAGTGGTCATGGTTGTTGCTTATCATTAAGTGGTGAAGTGATCAGAAGCCATGTCTAGCTAACTGGGGTTGTTTTCCTCTAATTGAGGTTATTATACTCTATGGCGGATGTTGGGCGATCTTGCGAGGGAAAACCGAAGAAAAATGAAAGGATTTCTGGCTTTAAATGAACGTTTGGAACCTGAAAACAGTCAATGAAACTAATCATCCAACCTCCTATGTGGCAGTATCTATGTTGTGGGAGCGTTAGTGGGGTAACTATATGAATGAGCTATTGTGTATGTGATGAATCAACAATGTGATATTTGATGTAGTTGTGCCAAAAAATAAGGGTATAGATCCAAAATTGCAACTTACATGGGAAAATGACGATCGATAAACCCACCTTGATAGGTGGGTGAGGATCAACATCAATATAAAATGGATGAAATTTGATAATGGTGATGTACAATGATGTACACGTATATTATACATTAGAGTATATCATTATTGAGTTGGTTGAGCAGTATGCCTTTGATAAGTCGGTTGGATATCTGATCATATAGTCTATATGCATAATATATCCATATATATATATAGAGTATTATATATATATTAGATATAATAATACATATATATACAATTATATACACATAGAATCAATAGATCAATCAATTGTCAGAGTCTGCTTTGGGATCGACTGAAAGGATAGTGGATGGTAACGTCTGGTGGGAATAGGGGAGTCAAGATGTGGGTTTGTCTTAATTTGGAGGAGAATCCCCAATTCCAGTGGTTTATCATCACTGGTTGGTGGTTTGGAACATGACTTTTATTTTCCCATATATTGGGAAATAATCAGCCCAACTGACTTTCATATTTTTCAGAGGGGTAGGTATACCACCAACCAGTCATCATGTTCCCTACTAAAATTGGAATCTTTTGGGTTTTTGATGGTTTTTGCCAACCTTTCAAACAAAACCAGATGCGAAAGTTCACTGCACTGTGGGAGGTGCTTTTCAGATTCGTTTGCCTGGTCCTTTGTCAAAGGACATGGTGAACGGATGCTCAAATCCTGTGAATTTTCCACATGCTGGGTTCATAACCCGCCAATTGTTGCAGTTTTATATCTCCCATGGATATCCCCCATGAAGTCCCATAAAATACCATAACTAGTTGGTGGTTTGGAACATGAATTTTATTTTCCATAATATATAGGATGTCATCCTTCCCATTGGCGAACTCATATTTTTCAAGATGGGCACATTGCACCACCAACCAGATAAAGTCACAATTTTTGGATCTTTTGTGGTTTATCCTCCCATGATTTTTCCCAAGCGCAGCCGAAGCAGTGACTTTCCCAGGTCTTCAGCGAAGAGTCAGCACACACCGTAGAGCGGGCCTATGTGATCCGCAAAACAGGACGCGATTGACCTGTACGAGGTGGTGTTTTCCGGTTTACACTAGCGGAGTTGTTGGGTTTATGGCACTGAGGTGTTATAAGTGTATAGTTAGTTTTTTTGTTCATATGGGGGTTTAAACTTTAAACCAAATGAATTACTTAAGTACAGTACAGTACAGTAATTATGATTTCATGGATTTCATGGGGTTTATCAATGTGCCTAGCCCTGAATACCCATGAAATTCAACGATATTTTTCATATTAGTAGCCTCTGGTACTCAATGGCTGGCTGGAAAATCCTCGAACTAAACCCAGGAGAAATCGATGGGTTGTTGGCGAATCGGTGTCCCAAGGATCTGAGGATGTCTTGAAACTGAACTCCAACTGAACTCCTGGATGTTTTTGGGGAAATCATGGGGATTACATGGACGTTACCATCAAAAGTTCTGATGTAATGGGATTTTCATGAGATTTAAATGGGATTTTATCACGAACACTTAGGCTTACCTTCTTGTAATCAATCACATGGTTTGCTGGAAAATTCCCCATTCATAGATCGATGATTGCACCCCCATTGACATGTCCATGTACTTCCGGGATTTCTGGAGGGTATGATGCCAATGATGAACTGAAGATTGGGCCCCTGCATCCGATGCATCCCCTTTCATTGTTTAGTGATATTTAGTGTTCACAGCCAGGACGTTTGCCAAAACTGGTGTCTTGGTTGCATTGTTCCATCGCTCAGTGCAGGTTTGCCACCTTCCCAAAATGCTTCGATACGGGGAAGATATCCCTGAGAACAACAGGAAGGTGTTTGTGCTTGTTTTTTTTTTTTGCGGATTGAATATCTTTACATATCTTTCCCCTCAATGAAGCTATTAGAGGGAGGTTGGGGCAAAGTTTTCCTAAACTTCTGGGGGGAAATCCTGTTTTCAGGCTGGTCTCAATTCGGAACATTTCCCCAAATACGTACAAAAAGCGCATCCCAGCACACTATTGGGATGTGAAAACTTGGTGTGTGTGTTGGGTTTGTAGGGTAGATGATGACGACCCAAACTCACGATCAACTCTCTATCTCGGAGGTTGGCCCCCATCTTTGTTGAATTCATCTTAGATCTCACGTTTCTTTGTCAAATCTCCATGTTGGTATTGTTGATTCCTCGTTGTTGCGCGCTTCAATCTTCTGTTTCGGCTGGTTATTGTATAGTAAATCCATGTAAATCCCTTTTTCTGCTTGAATCTCAATATATTCGAAATTTCAGTGGCTAAAAACCCAATTTCAAGATATATAGACATATAAAGTCTAATGAATTCTCATATATCGGGTGCTTACTTGCTTACTTGGCTGCTTAACCTCTACCACCGGTGCTCTGAATGAGGTGAAGCAGCTAGAAAGTTCGCAATACGACGCCCATGTGGCTTCCAGTCGCTTGAACAAGGCGAGAAAAATGGGGAGAGAGAGACTGACTACCCTCCGGTTTCATCATGGCCATGGGTTCATGGGGTTACTTAGAAATCATGGGATGAAATGTGGTGATGATAATTCGAGGCAGCTGATATTTCATCAATTATCAAACATGGCTGGGAAATCCTGGTGGCCTATGGAGCTTGCGAGCTGGAGGATTTTCCAGCGAAGCATTTTTTTCTGATTGCTGCCAGAAGCTAGTTATGAGTACCATATTTTCCAGTTCTATGGAGTTCTGAGTACCCTAGGTACTCAGTGACTGGGGTGTATTGCATGTTTTCATTTATCAATTTGGAGTTCGATCTATATTTTTTTTCCTAGAAACTAGTTAGAAACCAAGGTGCAAATCACACTAAATCTGGTTGGTGGTTTGGAACATGAATTTTACTTTTCCCATCATATTGGGAATGTCATCATCCCAACTGACGAAGTCATATTTTTCAGAGGGGTACAGTAGGGCTCAACCACCAACCAGTAAATGTAATCTAATCCCAATTATGGCTGGTTCATCCCCAGTACATCCCAATATATCTCCACTAAGTATCCATTGAATGAAAAATGACAGATTCCAAATTGTTCATCCCCTGACAATGTTCAGATTCCAAATGACAACATCACTTCCTGCTTGGAAGTGCAGTTCAAGTGGACTATGTGGATTAATATCACCGGTTTGCAAAAGCAGCAGGATTACCATGGATGAATGACTATTAATGGTAATATACATATTACCCTCTGGATATTTAACATAGCCATGGTATAGATGGCCCATAGAAATAGATGGTCTACCTGGGTTTACCTATTAAACATGGTGGATCTTTCCATGGCTATGTTAAATAACCAGATGGTATGTATTAGATCATATATCACCATGATTATCCCACCATAAATATTACAATTATAAGTATATATAAGTATATATATATCACCATTAATATCATTATATATGCTATTATCCCAATTGATATAGCATAATAAATACAATGTTTGGGATATTATCTATAAACCACCATAATTTATATCCCAACATTCTGGTTTAGTTCACGATAAGCACCAGGCCCGTGAGTCGGAGAAGGCTTCACTGGAATCGGACCTGCAGAGGTGTCAGTTCTTTGGCGCCGTGTCGAGGGGTCACTTCTGAGTCGGTGACGTCCGGAGATTTTCATGGGGATTTCTTATGATTTCTTGGGTTTTTCACCATGTTGAACCAGCCATGTTAATTGTGATTCAATGGGTTTCAACAGGCAGCTGGGGTTTTGACCCAGCACAGATGCTGCGATTTAGCCTGCAAGACATGTGGCTTTCTCAGCAAACATATTGGTTTGACCAGCAAAGGTAGGTTCAAACACCAATCGACAACCAGCAAACATAGGTTTTTTTAAACTCCAACCAGCATTGAGTATATGTAAAGTGTAGATAGCTTCGTCGGCCCAATTCGCAAGAGGAATAGCCATCTTTGCCACAAGGATTCTTTGAGCTAGCAAGAAATTGCAACGAAATCCAAGAAAGCCTCTAATTGAGCAGAGTTGATTGGAGCCCCCAAACCACAGACAGATGGATATTGGGATACCCAATTTCAGAAAGTTCGATCATGGTCAGCTGGTTCCGGGAGAACTGAAGTCGTAGATCCTGAGGCTTACAGTGACTAATCTGAAGCATCTTGGCATGCAGGATTTGACCTCCGCCTTGTGGCTTGTCGTAACCCACCAATTTCTGGGCAGATTTTGTGGCCTGGTGGGTCTGTTAGTGGGTGAAAGTTTAGGCCATCCAGGATCACTACGTCACTATGTATATTAGTGTAGGAATAAACATCGCTCGTTGTAGGTTATTCTTCAAGGCCAGGCATGCTTGATATTGGTGCGAGAAAGGATATGCCGCATTTTTTTTTGGAACCTAGTCGTTCTCATCAATTCCACTTTACTCCGTGTCAGTGCTGGTTACCCCTCTGAAAAAAATATAACTTCAAAGAAGACTCCGGTGGCTACGCCACTAGCTATATCCCTATATGCCCTATATGTCTTAAATCACCAGAAATCACCACTAATTATGTACTTTCTTTTCAACTGGCACTTTGCTTGGGTTTGCGGCTTTGGATTTGGTGCTTCATGGCTGTTGTTCCATGTTGTTCCAGGTTTCAACACTTCGATGGTGGAGTTAGTTCACTGGTTTCCCCTTCTAACTGGGTATATTTCGTGGATTCACCAATTTAAAATGAACCAGTGGCAACAATCATACCCAATGGACCAGTAAGGCTTCGTAATTCATGAAAACTATAGGCTGCAAAGCCTTACTTGCAGGATCATCCCACGAATCGTAACTAGTTAGTAAGTCGGGGTATATTTCCAGTTTTCAATGGGACTAATCCAGTTACGATATACCAAGGTTACTAACCAGTTATGATCAACCAAGGTTAGTAACTGGTTGGTGGTTTCAAACATTTTTTATTTTCCATCATATATGGGATAATCCTATTGACTTTCATATTTTTCAAGATGGTTATTGCACCACCAACCTGGTAACCAAGTTACAAAACCAGTTGGGGGATTGACTAACCCAGATTACGAACGAGTTACGAGGATCGTGGGATGATTTTTTTCACCGTGTAGCGTCCCGAGGAGCCGCGTGGCAAAGGAACAACAGGCCGTGGAGCTGGCGTTGCAAGGGCCGCGACCTGATTGGAAGGCGCTGGGCCTGGAGTGATGATGTGTTGTTGGTTGAAAACCCGTGTTGATTGATGATAATAATAAGATGTTTATATGATATAGTATATATATATTATGTGTGGGGATTTACTGCCTTTATTTATATATGGGGATATATTTGATCACATTTGGGTGAGGACTTCTTTGAATTTCCATAGTCTATTTACTCCAGTAAGTAGCTTGCAACCCCAGTTAGGAGTTGATTAAGCCTACCTACCCCACCAAAAAAAACACGGATAGTTCAGTACCAGAATCTGCATAGATTTTGATACCGCTAAGTTGGTGCCAATAGTCGTTAGATTTCCAGGGATTAAGCTAGATTCGAACTAGTTTTTTGTGGGTCTAAACCAACTATATCAACTATGAAATATTTATATGATATGACTAGGACAACCACATACAACCACCTTGTATCTATATAGGATATGGACATACACACAGATGTACATTCCTAGACCTCGAAATAATGGCCCATAGAAATTGGTGTGCTGAAATTATGGGGCAACATACCCTTTTGTTTATTGGCACTGGAGGGTCCAGGTCAATGCATGACAAAATGTATGATACGTACACAATTCATCCTGAAGAATATACAATAGAATATGGTAATTTACCTGAAAATATGGTGAATATACCTGAAAATTATGGTATGTTCAATATTTTTCAGTTTGGTGAAGATTGTTTGACATTTCCAAAATTTCGATATTCTATCTGCTCCAGGATGACCTTTTATGCACTGGTACATACATATATATATATATCTATATACACTACATACAAAGCTATCTGGATAAACTATAACCACCTCACCGCACCCTCACTGTATGGTTAGGATTCAGGCGAGTTAACTATGAATCATCCAGATAATTATATATCACATCAATTCATATCACATAATTACTATATTAGTACATATTAGTACATTATATGTATATATTCTACAATTAGACAGGTGGTGATATTATCCATTATATGTATATTCTATCACCTACACAATGTACATGTACATTATATGTATTCTATCATTCCTGAATGGATATGGTGATTCATCTTATTAGTATATATTCTACCATTATATATATATATATGCTGGTTGGTGGTTTGGAACATTGTTTATTTTCCATAATATATATAATCCGTCCCATTGACTTTCATATATTTCAAGATGGTTAACACCACCAACCAGTATATATATATACGTATATATATATACATATATATATATATACATATCCGCATTATTTTCCATATATTGGGAATAATCATCCCAACTGACTTTCATATTTTTCAGAGGGGTAGGTCAACCACCAACCAGATATATTCATTCCTATTTTATACATATATATATATATATAGATCCGTATTATTCATATTATCATCATCATATCCATATATTCCATAGAATCCATATATTCCATATTCCATAAGCCATAGTTAAATAGTTGATTTTCCCATTAAAAAAATGGTGATTTTCCAGTTCGTTATGTGGCTACGTTTACCAGGCCGGGTGATTTGGTGCATCGAATCCATCGCTGCACCAGGTGGCGTCCTCCAGCGGCTTCGTGACCTTCACCACGATCCTTTCACAACGCCTGGCCTCACGAGAGTCGCCTGGAGATTTGGGAAGCCCTGATTTTCCCAAGAACATCGTGGATTTTATGGTGAAATATGCTGATGATTAGATGATTTTTTGAGTCTTTGGCAAGTCATCCATTGGTATCTATTGGCTGTGGATCAAGATTAAGCAACCCAAGATCTCGCGAGTGTCGGTCACATCCCCGGTGTCCGGAAGCTGATCCTGCTGCGATTCCTGAGGCAATGTACTCGAGATGTGTCAGCTTTCAGGACTTTGGGGGTGGATGGTTGCCATCTAACAAGCTATTTGTCTATATATATAGTGTATAATATATTCTATAATATATATATATATGTATAGTGTAATGTGTATATATATATAATGTAGTGTGATGTAGTGTGTACACATATATATATATATAAATATCATTGGAAACATGGTCATCATATAGTGGATACTACAGTGATGAGATCGGCAGCCATGAGATCGGCAGCCATACTGCGGGCCTTTGGGGAGACACTCCCTGCCTCCAATTGAGAGATGGTTTCCATTGTGGCGGGCTCAAAATTACCTGCCATGCGAGCTATACTACCCTGAGGCAAACGAACAGGTAGGACAGAAACACAAATTCGCAGGTGGAAAAAACACCTAAGATATAATATAGCTGTTTATAATCAACATTATCCACTTCGTTTGTGGATAGTTTCTACACGCCCTGGATTAGTTGAGGAGATAAAATTATACTGTTGAAAAAACTATATTTCCCGCAAAACAACGACGCCCATTGTTTTCCGATTCCTGTAATTGTTCTAAACAAATGAAGCCATGAAAACCTTAAGTGACTCGGGTCTCGTTTTCCGCCAGGATGTACATGGCTCCTGATCCGCATGATGTTTTGTACGAAAACCTGGCAGAGGATGATATCAATGCCTCCAGTTGGAAATGGTTGGGAACCTTGGATGAATTACGATGAATTGCCAGCGATTTGCGACGTACACCAAGCGATTTCTTCTCATTTCTCGGATTCAATATGGATCGAACATGAACTTTATCACATGTGGATTGAATACAGACTTGATCTACTGGTTGGTGGTTTGGAACATGGTTTTTTAATGACTTTCCATTCAGTTGGGGTCATGTCATCATCCCAAGTGACTCATATTTTTTCACAGGGGTAGGTCAACCACCAAGCAGTTTATGATGAAATCTCGCGGGTGGAGATACTGAGCATTACTCAGCAAGGGCAACTCGTCAAGCATGGGATGCGGCCAAGCACCCTGAAATATCACAGTATAATGATGATATAAGCCCCAAAAAGATATAGAAACATATGATTTCTGACTAAAACAGTGACAGATTCGACTTTTCTTCATTTTTTTTCGATTACTATAGAATACAGTAACACCAAATTCTTGGTAGCTGGTTGGGTGATGCGGGTGGTTTCTGGGTTTCTGAATCACATCCGGGAAGCCTCCGGGAATCAGAAACCCATGACTTGATGGAAGTTTTCCACCACCACAGGTTCGTTGACTTTTCCCATCATTTCTGGATTTTCCATGGCCATGTTTATTTATCATAGCCATGGTATAGATGGCCCATAGAAATAGATGGTTTACCGAACTTAAAAATGGTGATTTTCCATGGCCATGTTTGATCCGAGGGTAATTGGAATAGTTCCCACAATGATCGTGAATATATTTGTTCCTGATATCGACGATATTGACGAGAGATCTCAGCATCACGGTTGTGAGTTGATGCACTGGTTGATGATATCGTTGGTTATAGATAGATAGATAGATAGATAGATATCATTGGCCATCCCATTGTATCTATATGATGCTTAACCGAAAATCTCTATCCTTTGGCAACATCCGCTGGGTTGCTCCAAGCTGTTTTCCTTCATTGCGAGGCTTTAGGGGTGTAAGCCCTGTTAATTTAAACTGGACTATATATATATAGGTAGACGTGTATATAAAACATGTGCCACACCACAAACCCGACTTCTATATGAGTGATGAGTTTTTCTTTGGATTATTTTTCCACCAACTCTACCACGAAACCTGGCTTTTTGGGCGCTTCTCCAAACACCAATGGCCAGGACGCCTGGCTCTTCTGGCGGTGTTCCTCTTTTGGATTCCCATCGTGGTGGCCATCAGTGGATGGACAACACTGAGTTCCATCCAGGGAACCGTTCCCGCGGTGAAGAAGTTCGTGGAAGCGCATCCCACCATTGGCAGTTGCGCGGTGGATGGGAGGCCACAGGAAGTGCTTTCCGTTTGGAATCGCCACGTTGGACCTTTTTTTGGGTTATCAAAGTATAGTAAATGGTTATAAACTATAGTTATAATCTACAAACTATAGTTTGTGGTGGTTATAGACCAACTTACAACTGGGTGGCCCCACATTGTAGAGCAGAGCCCAAATGATCCAACATAGTGCTTGATGGTTATTGTTGGGGGAGAAATATGGAGATTTCAATACAACAATGTTGATATTCAGCATTGAATATAGGGTGCCAGTGATGGATATTTGTTCACCAGGTCAAGGGCAGGTTGAGTGGGTTGAATCCATGAAGTGAATCCAAGGGCCCAGTGGCCCCTTAACTCTGAGACTATGACTGGCTGAATCCATCTTGATATTGCATTTGACATATTTGACTTGGCGGCTAAACTTTAAAATCTTTAAACCTAGACCCTCCAAGTACCCACAAAAAGAAGGGTAACATAGGGTAACAGTATGTAAAAGTACTCGAATTCTGGGATAAGACTGTAGCTATCTGTAGCTGCTAATTATCTAATGGGATATGATATGGTGAACTCCCAAGAGCCATTACGATAAAACTAAATCCAAAATTGGTTTGATCTCCTGCTTGAAATCCTGCTCTCTCGCCTGACCTAGACCTGGCCCTTGAAAAAAGATCGGGATCAGAATCCAGTCGCCACAAGAAATGCTCTTCACGAACCATAAATTGGTGATTTTCCCTATGTTCTCCCAGTCTTCTCACAGTCTTCTCCCAGTGCAGGGATGTTCCAATGGATTTTGCAGCCGCAAAAACACCGTTGTGTCACTGAGGTTTGATGTCTGGGGTACTGGCCACGGCGGCCTTGAAGATCTTCATGATGTTTCTGCCCACGGTGCTTCATTTCATCATCACCACCACCCTGCACTTGAAGGCCGAAGAAAACGAGTCGAAAACGAGTCCGACTAAGACACCGTGGTGCACCCTTTTGGCGGAAAGAAATGAATGGTGGAAATGATGGATAAAAATCATGAAGTTTGGCGGGACGCTAAAGTCGAAAAATAAGTGATCCCAGAATCTATCCTAGAATATCACAAACCAACATATATATACCAGGCAGTTACTTCTGCCCTCTAATGGAAGCCACTTAGACCCAAAGTGCCAAACGGTCGCTTACAAGATCAATCATGCATAAGTGACCTCGTTTCATGAATCCTTAAGTGACCTCTTTGCCTGGCTGCTCTTATGATTTCTGCGTGTCACTGCGTGTCACTTGCGTGTCACTGGGGTTTCGAGGTGGGATGAAACGAGGTCACTTAGGACCCTGAAAAGGTCACTTAAGCCTTGAAAAGGTCACTTAAGGATTGGCTGTCTGCGTGTCACCTGCGTGTCACTTGCGTGTCACTGGTAGGCCACTGTTTGGTTCGTTTCCTTAAGTGACCTCTTTCTACGTTTTCCTTAACTGACCTCTTTCTAAAGGCCACTTAGCAGAAAACACAAACAAGGTCACAAGGAATCGTCTGGTATATATACATATACACACACCATCTGGTAATCAAACATGGTTTGCTGGAACATGTTACATTTAGTTCAATAATTTTCTGATTAACACCTTCGTTTTATAGACGATCTCCCCATTTTTTTTTTGTTGTTTCATGCTTTTTCCCATTAAACTAAAACCTTCATTTTTTTTAATTTTACCAGCTAGCGAGTCCTGCCATTTTTTGTGGCCTTTTTTGTCAGGCAGGAAGCGTAGAACAGCTGAAACTGCAGCAATGGAGTGCGGCATTTCTTCTGCTCTTCGTGGTTTTGGTGACATCTTTGGGACGTGGGCTGACGATCACGTTCTTCATCGTCATGCAGGTCTGGTATGGTCTGCGCACGTCAAAGGGAACAGTTCTTCCGCACGTTGAGAAATTCATCCCATTCATATTCAACACAAAATGCAACGCCCTACTGAGAAATGGTCCCAGTGTAAAGTCCAGTTTCTAAAACCACGCTTTATGGGGCGGTATTTGGCATCGTGAAATGAAATGAGAGCCACATTAAAATAGACTAAAAAGGGAAGACTTTACCATTGTTTTGTTTTCCCTATCTTGAGCATGTTTTTCTAATGGGTACCAATGGAGGGTCTAAGCCAGATTCAATGGTCCCATTTTCGCTTCCCAGGAGCCTGCAAAGATCATCAGCCTGTCTTTTGGGCGGAACACAGTTCTGGCGAGGGGAGGCTTGAAAAAGGATAGAATATATGGATAGAAAATGAAGGAAGAACGAAACAAGAAATATGCCTCATGTGTAATTATACTATGTATATATCTATATGTATACATATATCATAGTCAATTACATATTTACGATATATCTACGACTATGTGTGTATAGCTATGCACCCGTGTAGCTGCAAAGATGAGTACAGAAAGCAACACTCCATTTGCACTGCATTCAACCTCCATTTTTTAGTTGAAGGATCCATACATGGTGGGTTTTCCAAAGTGAACTTCACCTTGGAAGTCGGAGATCTGCCGTGACAATAGCCTTGAAGAAACTCAGGTGGCAGACGTTTGAACACTTCATTTTTCCTCGGAACAAAACCTGTAAGAAAACCTTTATGTTCTTCTTTCAGGTTGATTAACCAGCTTATGTCCATGCTAAACCCCTGTTGATGATGTTTATAGTACATCCATTAAACATGTGTTTTTTATGGTAGTTTGATACTTTTCAGCTAAACCGCTTCCGGAAAACTCTTGGTCATGACTCTCGACTCTGGTCGACTCTGGTCGACTCTGGTCGACTCTGGTCGACTCTGGTCGACTCGGGGTCCTAGGTTGGCGGCGTCTTTGCCATCGGCCAGTCATTTCTACTTCAACTATGTGATCTTGGGATGGTTGGTACTTCCCATGGCCCCTTGACATCGGAAGTTTCCCAGAAGTTTTTATGCGCTGATCTGAAGTCAAGCAGCGGTCTATGAAGGGATGTGACATTCCATGTGCTTCCAGATCGTGTTGAAATCGATTAGATATCATAGCTGGGCACATTTCTTTCCCACATCAAATAAGGAATCGTTTTGAAACTGTTGGGCACATTCGAGGGTGCTGGTGATGGGGCGAGTGAGCTCTGATGGCTTGGTCATTCCCAGAAGTATGCATTCGTACAGCCATGTCAAGCTCATGTTCATATAGGTTCTGTATACCTAGACCCTCCAAGTACCCACAAATGATCATAAATGCCCATATTTACATTGGTGGTTTACCTCATATTGTTTATACTTCAACCATCTAAAAAAAACAGTTTTTATATGTTTTTATGGCTACACACAGAGGGTCTAGGTTCACCCTCCTACTGGAGGATGGGACGGCCGCCCTCAGGACATGCTTCGTATGACCAACTTGGCAGCATGGCATGGTTGTTCGGTCGGGACGGAGCCAGATGGCTCTGTATTTCTTGATACTATAGCCAAGATGGTTAATCTATGGTTAATCTATGGTTAATCTATGGTTAATAATGGTTATATAATAATGGTTACCCTCTGGTAATCTCACATAGCGAACTGGAAAATGGATGAACATGGATGAACATGGCAAAACGAGTTCCATGTTTGACCTATGAATTGCTTTTCCGTTAAGAAAAATTGATGCATTTTTCGATTCAAAATGCATCTTCCAAAGCTCAGGAGGGCTGTCTCGTTTGGTCTGCCGAGTCCATTGGTCCGTTTGTATTTTCTCCATCTGAAAGTAGAATCCTTAGGGACACATGTTTTCCGTGTAGAGTCTGTTGACCCTCCTGGAAGAATGCTTAACAGTAATTTATGATTTATATTTTGGGATATTTTTGGTATTTTAATACGTAGGCCCTAACTATATACATACATACTCTATACTGTAATACAGCTGTAATAGTAATAGTAATGAGAATGTTCTGAACTATATATTGTAATCATAATATATAATAATGAGAATCATGATAATATCAAATAATATCCCAAAATAGAGATATTTTTACATATTTTAACTACATCTTTCAATGATAACATGGATGCGACTGGTTGACCTCGTCAGGCGCATATTTTCCTGGGACTCCGAGGCGAAATGGTTCTTCTACCGCAGAGTTTGCTCATTCGAGGACGCCGACTGATCTAGGGCACCCAAAAAGGACACGGCTTTTCGGATGACCATGGCGCAGGATTTTTCGGGGATGAATCCACCATAGAATGGGGCTGTTGAATATTGGGATGGGATTACTTTAGTTACCCTCTGGTAAACGTTAACATATAGCTGTTGAAAAAAAAATCAGCATGCTATTAGTGGGTAACTAAAAAACACCAGAGGCTACATGAGTTTTGTGACTTTCCATGTTTTACTTTTCACAATACACGAAAATTGCATGTTTCTGCTCACACCATGATGCCATGATGCCCCTGCGGGCCCCCTGCCTCTATGTACCCTAATACTATAATATTGTCAATAATAATGATAATGAGACCATCAACCATAATGAAAAAATAGTGATATATAACTATAACTATATAGTAGTAACAAAACATGACTATAAACAAACTAACAATATATACAGTATGTATACATACACACATATGTATATAATTTGGTTGTTTAACATATAGTAGCTATGGACAATTGTCCATGTTTAGATGATTTATGGTGATTTACCTATTCAAAATGGTGATGTTCCAGTTTGCTACATTAAATTACCAGAAGGATACACTATATTCACTACATAAAAAAAACCTCCTAAGGATGGGTCAACATGTCAAGCCTTGGAATCACACGAACATCTACGAACAGATCTACAGCTTCGCCGAGAAGGGACAGCCGTCTCTGTGCCTTGCGGCTATGATTCACCACTGGCGGGGGAAAATGTACACAAAAACACACACATACGAACCAACCAAACTAACATAGACGGAAGACTAGCTTCCTGAAAATATGGGTAATTCTTTGGTTTTCATATTCATGTAGAGATGAGCCGGATGAAGAGATACATATTATGCCATATATATATATATATTAACGTGTAGTTACAGTATGTAATATGTCAAATGTTGCAGCATGTAATATGTCTCTGTGTATATATATATATTACACACACGTTGAGATATTGATATTTATGACATGTACGCATACTATATAGATATACACATATTTATGCACATAAAAATATTACATATATATATAAACAAATACACATATTATATATATTATATTATAGATATTCTCTCTCTCTCTATATATATTATATTATATTATATATAATATAGTATTATGGATATTATACATGTACATAGACAGGATCCCTGGATGCCCCTGAAGGCCAGCCACTTTTTTTTTTCGCCGCCCCAGGAGGACGAAGCGCGGATCTACGCAGACCCGGAGGATCCGGCATACTATGGCCTTGGCACTCGAATGGCCCGAAGCTAAAGGTGGATGTGGATCGGTTGATGCTAACCACCAAGGTGATGTTTTTCAAGGTTTTCCGGTTGGAAAATCTGGTGATTTCATTGTTTTATGGTGGTTGAATGGTGGTTTTCCAAAAATCTGGTGATTCCAAGCAACATATGGTTTTGCAAGGTGGTTTTCCAAGCAAAAATATGGTGATTTCATGGGATTTTTGCCCAAGTTGGTGAACAAAACTTGGGGATGCAGGCGAGGATCTAACCCACTTATAAGTGGCACTGCACCCAAAGTATTATCCAATATATTGAGGGATTATCATAATTTAATGGTAAGGTGGTGCCGCAGTTTCTTAGCCAAGTTTGTTGCAAATAGCTAACACAACCAGGGTCTACTTATATATAGTAGATATCTCTATGCTGAATGAGGATTATCAACTAGTTTTTAACTGGGGTCACCAGCTTACAATGTAGGAGTGCTTCAGAAACCACAGGTCCAGAAGGGTTGCAACATGGTCAAACCCTAGATCGGATGCCGATGGATACAATACCAAGAAATGTTCTAGTTTCACCCCCATATGCATGAGAAAAAACCAGCATGTTTACAGATTCACCATATTCCACTCAAGATTCTGGGTGCTGTGTTTATCACAGTTCTTTTCGAGACGGTCTTTTGTGGACAAGTCCTCCTCAAGTCATCACAAGGTCGGCGTAAAGTTTAAGGTCAGTGTCCACTTTGACTCTGCCAAGGCCCGCACGGTGTTGATGGCCTCGATGTTTTTCATCTTCTGCTCTTGCTCTCCATTGATTTTGGTGGGGAGCCCTGTGAAGATTTTTGAGGATTTCGTGGGATGACAAAGATGATGTGGGAACAAACTGCAAGCCCAAAAAGATGACGACATTCGTAAAATGCTATTCTGAAATAATGGTATATAGATATTATAGAACTATAGAACTTAGCCTTTTCGGTTTTTTTTGGGGGTTACTAGCCCTGTTACATGTCACTGTGGATACCGCCCAACTACTTCTGCCAAGTTTTCTGGCCGTGCGGTGTGAGATTTTTCTGGCTCAAAATGAGCGGTGGCCAAAGGACAATTATGATTGGGGATGTGCTACCATATACTATCATTTGCATATGCGACTGGGTCAACACCTACAATACCATATTTGGGGGATGAACATCCATTTGCCAGCCATTTTTATGCAAACCGAAGGGGATTCCATGGGTCTTTGATTCTGATCCACAAATCAAGGGGTAACAAAGCCCAAGAATCGAGCTTTGGCCACTGCTCAAGATGTTGTCAATGACACAATTTTTCATGAATTCATAGAGAATCTTCCTTGCACGGATTTCAAAGTGCATAAATGTTTCAAGTGACCATCGCTTTGCCGAGTGGCAAAAGGACAAGCGTGACAGTCGCGGAGTCCTCCAAAGTAGCCGACGTCAAACTTCTGGCCCAGCAGCAATTCCAGCAGGGGTTCCTGCGGCTCATCACGGCTTGGGGCTATGTCTTATCTGATCTGGAGGAATCGGTGGAAGCAGCAGAGCTGGAGGAGGGTGACCACCTTACCGCTATTGCACAGCAAGCAAGGCTAGCTGCAACAGGCAGTGCCTTTGCCCTGTGGATTTATGGAGGTGACAAGATCCTCACTTGGGGCAGTGCATATAATGGTGGTCGCAGCACTTCCATCCAAAAGAAGCTGAAAAATGTACAACAGGTTCAGGCCACACTTCATGCATTTGCAGCGGTCTTGGCTGACGGATCCGTTGTTACATGGGGCAGCCACCGCTGCGGTGGTGACAGCTCGTTCGTTTCAGATCAGCTCAGAGGTGTGCAACGGGTCGAAGCAACAGCAGGTGCATTCGCGGCAATCCTGAAAGACGGCTCCGTTGTGACATGGGGTGCTCCATATTTGGGTGGTGACAGCTCTGAAGTTCAAGATCAGCTGAAGAATGTACGACAGATTCAAGGCTCACTTCAAGCATTTGCAGCAGTCTTGGAGAATGGATCTGTTGTTACATGGGGCAGCCATCGTTATGGTGGTGACAGCTCCAAAGTTCAACCTGAGCTTTTCCTCGTCCGACAGCTTAAGGCTTCTCCTTTCGCGTTTGCGGCAATCCTGGCAGATGGATCTGTGGCAACTTGGGGCGATCCAGACTATGGGGGTGACAGCTCTCTAGTCCAAGATCAGCTGAAAAATGTGCAGGAGATTCAAGGCACAAGATTTGCGTTCGCTGCAATCCTTGCTGATGGATCTGTCGTGACATGGGGAGATGCGGAGCGGGGCGGTGACAGCTCCGAAGTCCAAGATCAGCTGAGGAATGTGATGCAGATTCAGGCCACGAATACTGCATTTGCTGCGATCCGTGCAGACGGATCGGTTGTCACCTGGGGCTTTCACTTTCCGGACCAGGGGGGTGACAGCTCTGCAGTTCGAGATCAGCTCAGGAACGTGCGGCAGGTTCAAGGCAGCCACGGTGCCTTTGCTGCCATCTTGGCTGATGGCTCAGTCGTGACTTGGGGTGATCCCAATGAGGGTGGTGACAGCTTTGATGTCCAAGATCAGCTTAGAAATGTACAGCAGATTCAAGCCTCACATCGTGCATTTGCTGCAATCCTGGCGGATGGGTCCCTTGTTACCTGGGGAAACCGGCATGACGGCAGTGATCATTCTGCAGTCCGTGACCAACTCGCACAGTTATAATAATAGTTGGTTCGTGTCCACCGTCTGATTGTGGCTAGTTGAAAAAACAGGCGCTCAAGACCGAACATGCTGGAAGTTTGAAATCAGCCCTGGACTAAACAAACCTTCGTTGATGTTGATTTTCCCACGGAAACCTCCATTTCTAAGGAATTTCCCAGCTTGCCAAACATCTTACAACTCTACACAGGTAGGTTGTGTCCCCATGCTGTGGGAACGCTTGTCACTGACTAGTTTTAATCTATTCCAAGCCTATGAATTGAATCACGCCGCACAGAAGTCTACACGAATCTAGAAGGCACCGTGGAGAGATCCTTGCCTCAAAAAAAAACTCAGCAAAATCATAGAATCATTGACCTACTGTAGATGTCCTTTGTCCTTTGAGCTCCTTTGCCCAATGGGTTAGCCACAAAAACAACCAATAGCACTAAGGTTTCAGCAGGTGCATACATGGGAAATGGACATGGGTAGCAACGGACCTTGTGTCATGAACGGAGATAGATTAGTCAGTCGAACCAGCTAAAGAAGGTGAAAATGAGCAGAGTATCTAAGATGGCTGGTTGGTGGTTTGGAACATGGCTTTTATGTTCCATTTCATAGATGGGATAATCCCAACCCCATTGACTTTCATATTTTTCAGAGGGGTAGGTCAACCACCAACCAGATGGGCGACAATTATTTGGCCTTGTCCTCAATCCCACTAGATACTCACAGTGGAGAGTTGGCTGTTCTTTGGTGTTGCGGGCCAATACTAATAATAATAACAATATATATATATATTAGCTATGCCGCCCCTCCCTTTGTGCCCATAACGCGGGCCTGGATAGATAGCTTTGATCTGTACTCACCAGCGAAACAAAATCCTTGTATCCAGGGTTGTCCACGATATTCCTTGATTCCGGGAAATTATTTCTGGTCTATATATTGAAAACACCACAGCTAATTTGCTTTCTGTCTCTCAGGTCTTTACTTGGATCTACTTTTTCCTGGCGCAGTTCGTTTTCGGTGCCCTGATTTTGGCGGGAGTTAGACGCTTTTACTCATTTCCAGTGTCATTCTAGATGATTTGGGGACGTAAAAAGAACATAAAGAAACACGCTCCACCAGCATTTTATCACATGTTTGACAGGTTTTACCTCCACCCCCCCTGTTGTTTAGTGCCAATTACTGTACCCTCTCCTAACTTCACATGGTTGCAAGATCCCCTTTCAATCAGCTGAATCAGTTAGAAGTCCGCCAAAACGGGCGCCCCATTCCAAACTCAACTGGATCCCATCCTACCAAAAACCATCAAAAACCCGACACCAGCCTTCCCCCAAGAATCCTGATTTGGCACTATGAAAATGGAGGTTTTAATGGGAAAACCCATAGGAAAACCATAGGAAAAATGGAGGTTTACCCTGTGGTGTATTATCATGCTGATTTGGCAACTTCAGAAACACCTAAACAAAACTGTCAAAAACTCTCAGTTGTCGCATGGCGATCTGAGGTTATTTGTTGCTCTTCTGCGAGAGTAAGAAACCCGACACCGGCGGCGTTTTCTGGATTCAGGCCACGGAGCAACTTTTCCTAGTGCTGGCCATCTATGTGCCCTGGACCACTGGACAGGGGAACGGCAGTGAGTCAGCTGTTGTTGTTGTTGTTGGTGGTGGTGGTGGTGGTGGTGTTGGTGTTGGTGTTGTTGTTGTTGTTGTTGTTGTATTGTTGTTGTTTTCCTATATACATGTGTGAATCAATGGATGAATATCAACACGCCTGTTGAAGACTGATTTCTGTTGACAGGGGGCAAAAAGGTCGGCCATGTTGATTCTTGTTGGTGACAGTTTGGGTGAACCAAAATCAACAAAATTCGCGCTTATATGCACACTTCTACATATTGAATGTAGACGAAATCCCAATCTTTGCAGATTAAACATATAAGTTTTGAGTCATATCATATCATCTCCCCTTTCTCCATTCATCATGGAAAATGCCTGTCGTATCGCATGTTTTGGAGGTGAATTCATCATCAGTGCTCCCTCCTTTCCAGGTTTACCAGGGTTTTTCATCCCCCATCATCTATCATCATCTTACTTCACCAAGAGCTAACTTTTTAACTTTTTCCAGAAAGCAAGAGTTCAACAAATAGTGAAATAAAATACGTAAGAATATATAAGACATCTATCATCTCAAATCCTGCATGGTTTCGTAACAACTCCCAGTGGTTGTTCGTCCGGGAGGATCCGCAGGTTTCACCATGAAACACATCCTCAAAGGGAGGAATTTTTAGACGGCCAAAATTATCAATGCATCCCTGATTATTTGGGGATGGGTCAAAACCCTGTCCCCCTGGTGAACATCAAAATAGCTGGTAAATGGATGTTCATCCCCTAAAAATGGTATGTATAGGCATAGCCATTTGGGAGACAAACTGCTGACTGGTGGGGGCCCAAATACTGAATGCAAGTTTTGTTTTTGGGAAGGATGTTAAATCAAAATCTAAATACATTGAACATCATCGAACTATACATTCACATGCGTCAAACTTTAGGTCAACTTGTACATGATCATGTAAATCAAAATACATGTCTCTGGAATACAAGGTTGTGCCCCCAAGTTCCAAAAACAATTGTGTGAAACCCACATTTACTTCAAATGCATCTACCATAAACCCAATCTGGTTGGTGGTTTGGAACATGTTTTTTCCTATTCCTATTCAGTTGGGAATGTCATCATCCCAACTGACGAAGTCCATCATTTTGCAGAGCGGTAGGGCTTTTCCCCACCAACCAGCAATGGTTGCACCAACGTAGCGGTTCCAACTGGGGTGTCATACCGGGTACACCTGGCACCACCTCCATAGTTTCCAGATGTTTCCAGTGTCAGTTTCTAGATTTTCCCAGGGCATCCCAGTAACTCTACCCATTGCCATGAGTTGATTTTCCAGGGATCCAATGCTTGGTTGATCCCCTTTTTCATGGTTAGATCCCATGAAATCGCCATTGGGATCGGGATCCTTAAATTTCACTCACCTGTGGGTTGGTTGGTGGTTTGGAACCATGGAATTTTATATTTTACCATATTGGGAATGTCATAACCCCAACTGACGAAGTCCATCATTTTTCAGAGGGTAGGGCTCAACCACTCACCTGTGGGTAAATTTGGACCATGGGGGACGTCCCTTTGAGGTAATGTTGATGGTTGGTGTACTGCGCGGACTCAACAAGAATGGCATCTGGGCAGGACCGCCTGCAGTAGCATTCTGCTCACTGCTGGTGCTCTACTGGGCAAGGCGGGGGGGGGGGAGTTGGAAAACTTTGGAATTTTTGGGGAAAACATTGGAAGCTGGGAGTTGGACGATGTTTGGACCTTAGAATATATTTGGACACTTTAGGACATGGTTTTTCTGTGGAAACAATGCCAGTTGTTTTGAGTTCGGAACAGTATTGAAGAGTTGAAGAATTCGTTACTTGTTCAGAGGTGAGCAAAACAAAAACAACATTTTGAGGTAAGTCAGAACTGAGCCTGGCTCATTGGCAGGGTGAAAACTGGGGCCCTTTGTGTTTCGCATTTTTCGGTGCAGAACTTTCTGGAGGCATGGAGTCAAGAACCTGGCTTTCGATACCCTGCCATTGGAGGAGGTGGTGAAAGCCTTCAAGGATAACAAGGACGGAGTTGCCTGGGATGATATGAAGCTGATGAAAATGATGAACATAACCCCATGAAGATGATGGGTTATTTCGGAAACTTGCCCCTACTATGGACTGGGTTGGGTTGGGTTACTATCATTTAGCATCTGGTCAACTAACATAGCTATGGAAAAACGTGATGTTTAACAGGTAAATGATCGAACTAAATATGGGTATGGATCAATACCTATACATACCATTTTTAATGGGATGAACATCCATTTACCAGCTATTTTGATGTTCACCAGGGGTACCAGGGTTTTGACCCATCCCCATATATGTTTGTTTACTGGAGGCCAGTTCTTCAATGGGATCTAGGGCCATCAAAGCCGAAGGATGCCGAAGGTCATTGATTGAAGGTAGCCCCGGAAATTTTCTCCACGTCAAGGGTGAGTTTACAGGAGGCTACCCTCTGGTTATGTCAAAATAGCTATTGAAAATGACCATATATATATTGGATTTTCCCATTAAATATGGTGATTTTCCATAGCTATGTTAAATTACCAGAGGCTACCCCAAAAAAATCAAACAAAACTATAGTGTAAATCAATCTCAAGAGGAACACGCAGATTTCTGATGGTGCAGGGTTTTTTCGACTCGACCCATCTTTGGAGCAATATGGACATGAATTGGATTTACCATGAAACATTGGGATGGATCTCTAAAACATTGGGATTTCAGGTGATTTTAGCTATCAACAAAAACATGGCGTATAACTGATAACTAATGATTAATGATCAATGAATTGACCCTCCTGTTCTTGCGGAACGTGGCTAGATGGATTCTATCCCAGCCTTTCAATCTGTTTTTGTTGTTGGTGGGATAATCATCTGACTAAATGGATGATGTTCTAGTGCCTGGTCTTCAATGCTACTCACAAAACAAGTAAATTGCAGTAGATTGGGCATGGTTGATTAGTTAAAGTTTATGTGGTAAACCCAATCATACACCATTGCCAATATGATCATAAATGGGCTTTATACCCTCTGGTGAACTAACATAGCAATGGAAAATCACCATTTTTCATGGGAAAATCCACTATAAATGGCCATTTTCCATTTCTATGTTAGTTCACCAGAGGGTAAACCATCCCTAAATGGTAGGTTTATGGCAGCCAGGGTTTACCAATCCGGATTGGTGAAATTTATCACATTGCTGCTGCTATCTGGTGGCATTCCAAAGATCCAGTTGAAATCCCAACGTTTTTTCTTCGGATGCACGACACGAACCAGAAATGTACCAACGGAACTGGTAACGTAGCTATGGAAAATGACCATAGAAATAGTGGATTTTCCCATTAATAGCATGGTGATTTTCAATAGCTATGTTAAATTACCAGAGGGTAACCCATACTTCTAGTTTGTTCACCAATTTTTATGTGCACTTGGAGGGTCTGAGTGCAGAGAAACACTGAATAAGTTTGTCTTTTCTGTTTTCCTAAAGCCGGAATGCAGTGCACTGAAACAAACCTGGACCCCCACAGAATCTGTTTACTGGTCGGTGTGGATGCAGTCTCTTTGCACAAGCGGAAAGCTGTGTCGGGAGAGCAGCATATCTATATGTCGACACTCAGAATTGACATGTTGCAGCTTGGCTCGAAACGCATGTTTTGGCTTTCATTCTTTCGACGTAACTTTTGCAGCCATGCTTCACTTGAATGTCGCTTTGCCCAGTGGCAAAAGGAAAGTTTTGGAAGTTGCCGAGTCCTCCAAAGTAGGGGACCTAAAATTTCTTGCCCAGCAGCAATTCCAGCAAGGCTTCTTAAGACTCATCACTGCTGAGTGCCATGTCTTGTCTGATCTTGAGGAATCTCTGCACACTGCATCTGGGACTTGTCGCGCGGATTATTTTTAAACTTGTTCCATTCCGTTGGTCAATCTAGTCAATCCACCATTCTTATAGGAATCTATATAATGGGAAGATTCTTAAGATCTTTGATTTGTTATGCCCCCCAAATCAGCCTGCTTTAAGCAGGCGGGGCTTCAAGATGAAGACCATCTCACAGCCGTTGTGCAGCACGCGAAGCTGGCAGCCACTGGAAAAGCTTTTGCCCTGTGGTGTTTTGGAGGTGACAAGGTTGTCACCTGGGGCAGTCCGCAGGGTGGTGGTGACAAGTCACCCATCCAGCAGGAGCTGAAGGGGGTGCAGCAGATTCAGGGCACGTGGCATGCATTTGCCGCGATTTTGGAGGGTGGATCCGTAGTTACATGGGGTCAACCAGATTATGGTGGCAATAGCTCCAAAGTCCAAGATCAGCTGAAAAACATTCGGCAGATTCAGGCCACCAGCAATGCATTTGCGGCGATTACAACCGATGGCTCTGTGGTGACCTGGGGCGATCCTCATTGGGGTGGCGACAGCTCCGCTGTGCAAAGTCGGCTCCGAAAGGTTCGCGACGTTCAAGCGACGGATCGCGCCTTCGCTGCCATTCTGAGCGATGGATCAGTTGTGACCTGGGGCCATCCATATGATCCTTGGATTTTTAGTTGACCATGGTCGGGTGACTGGCCTAATAAGGGTCATGTTTGTGGGGTTGGCGAAATGCCTATGATGCCAAGGCGAAAGTTGAATTTTGAGAATATTTGGTTTCTAGTGGTTACAATCAACCTGAGTGATTTACTGGGACTATGACTAAGGTTCATCAAGTTGTTAAGAAGAATTCATATACGCATCCCTACCCCACATACAGTACCATGTTTTGTCCATGGCGGCACATACATATTTGCAATCTTAAGCAAATCTAAGGATTCGATGTCCATGGCATATCGGCCAGGCAGTCTAAGCCAACCAAAAGCCTTGGCTGGAATGATTGGTTCAATCAATGCTCCAAAACCAGCTACCCCAGCTACTGTTGTCGATCAGTTGAAGAATGTACAACAGATCAAAGCGTCCGCAAGGGCCTTTGCTGCAGTCTTGGTGGATGGATCAGTGGTCACACTTGGCCACTACACCTTTGGTGGTGATTCTTCACTGGTGCAAAATGAGCTCACGAATGTCCAACAGATTCAAGCCTCGCGCAGCGCATTCGCTGCGATACTGGCAGACGGATCGGTGGTGACCTGGGGCGATAAACGCCGTGGTGGTGACAACTCAGAAGTTCGAGCTCATCTTCGTCATGTGCGGAGGCTAGAAGCCACTTGCAGCGCATTTGCTGCACTGCTGGCAGATGGATCTGTTGTGACCTGGGGCGATCCAGAGAATGGCGGGGACAGCTCCTCCGTCCAAGATGGGCTTCGGAATGTGCTCTTGATCAAGGCATCATGGAGTGCCTTTGCGGCGATTTTGGCCGATGGATCTGTGGTAACCTGGGGAAATCCACTCACCGGTGGTGATAGCTCCAAGGTCCAAGATCAGCTCAGGAGGGTTCAGCAGCTCCAGGCCACAGATAGTGCATTTGCTGCGATCCTGGCAGATGGATCGGTGCTTACTTGGGGGAGTCAGGAGGCTGGTGGTGAGAGCTGGGAAATCCAGGATCAGATCAAAGCGCTGTAAGTTTCACAGGTGCAATGCTCACCTGGTTGGTGGTTTGGAACATTTTTTATTTTTCCATATCTTGGGAATAATCATCCCAACTGACGAACTCATATTTTTCAAGATGGTTATTGCACCACCAACCAGTCTTCCATGGTGACAAGAACCCCACGGACTTGACGGCGGGGTAACCCCAATCGCCTGGGATCATGAGCCGAACCCAGACATCCCAGACCTGTCCCCCCAGTCCTGGACCTTGTGAAAAAGATCACCATGGTTGATGGCAATATTCCCAACGCTACATGTTGATATGATGTTGCATGAATGTCTGTATGCGGATATTGAATAGACTATATATATATATATGTATATAAGTATATGTATATATATATATATAGATGAATTATAGATGTTTACTCAAGAACTCAGTTCATAATCTATCTATCCCAAAGTGACACGGTAATATCACCATCGGGACCGTTCCCAATGTTCATATGTTTGGCTGTTTCCACTTTGCAGGAGATCTGATTGACCATTTCTTATGTGACCCCCAGTTATATATGTTGTTATATGTTGTTTCGAAACCCCATCTAACTATAGATGTACCACAAATCATGGTACACCTAGTTTGGAATCAACTTACCCATACTTACCCATGTAGAAATCCATTTACATCCAATATTAGTCCCCATCAAAGACCAACTTAGCGATTTTAGGGGCCCAAGGTTGGTGGGGGCCTGGCGCTGTTGGAGATGATATTCCCCATAGGCCCATAGTTGGATGATGTTTGATTGAGACATTTACCAACCCCGGTTGCCCCGGTTGAGTGTTTCATGATGTTTCATGTCTTTTGGGGGGTCACTACTATATGTTATTGTCATTCAGCAACCGCTCATTTGTTGATGGGTTGAACATCATATAACATGATCCACCCAGATAGTTCCATTAGAATCCTCTTAAATCACCATTATTGCGAGTTCTATCATCTGAAATCAACATGTTTCATAGTAAATCCCAGTGTTTCATAGTAAATCTCACTAAAACTCCCTGGTATCTTTGGTTTTTTTTGGGATCTACCGATATCCCCCAGATCAGTTCCGGCCCCGTTGTGTTTTTTGGCAGGACGAATCGGACCTGGCCAGTCAGTCTCCTGGTGGGAGATTTCACCATTTCAAGAGGCTTTCACCACGAAAAACGGACCGTGACTATAAATCACCGGTTGGTTTGGAACATTTCATGGAAACCAAAGGAAACCCATAGGAAAGCCATAGGAAAACCATAGGAAAACCATAGGAAAGCCAAAGGAAACCCATAGGAAAACCATAGGAAAACCAAAGGAAACCCATAGGAAAACCATAGGAAAACCATAGGAAAACCATGGGATCTCGTTGGTAGTTTGGAACATGACTTCTATTTTTCCATATATTGGGAATAGTAATCCCAACTGACTAATATTTTTCAAGATGGTTAAAACCACCAACCAGATCAAATTGTGCTTTCTATTGGATTTATGATAGGTAAGTTGGTTAAACAAGTACCAAGTTCTGGTTAACAACCAGTTGGTATACAATGCTATTAATCCACCCTAGAAAGTAAGAGCCCCCCCAATTAAAAAACTAGGGTGTGTAATACATACGAAACAACCAACGTGCCTGCCAATGGATCGAGATTTCTCTTTTCAGTGGCAACCTCCCTCCCAATGGGGAGAGATGGTGAGATTGGGCATGGTACATCCCTTTAAAACATTACTTTTTCAACCAGGAAAACAATAAACCATTAAACAAATAAGTATATCATATCCTGACTACCACAAAATTAGGATTTCTGAGCAGGGTGTTGTTTATTAGGGGGGTCGCACATGTTTCTTAATAGGGAGGGACCAACCCAAAGATTTTTTGAATGTGGCTGTTGATTAATTCGGGATGATCATAATAATATATGTTATATATATATATATACATACATTCTATTAGATATATATATATAATATTATACTATATATATATAGCTACAGTCATAGGACTGATGGGGTTTAACCGTTTAACCCATGAAAATAGGATGTTTACCCAACAAAAAAAGGCATAACATTGGTATATTACCAAACAAAAAACAAGGTACATATAAATTGGTAGAGACACCTACGACATCTGGCATTCGTGGTAGATATATTTGATATACTTGCAGTTCGATGAGTGTATAATCCGACTTATATATCAAAGTGGGTCACTTTGAATGCTCATGTTCGTTTATACTTCCGTTTACCTACATTTTAAGTTGGCTGAATAGGTAAATATTCCAGACATTTTCAGAATCTGAGAATCAGCAAGTACAGACCATTTTTAGTTCTCTCACATCATTTCACCAAGCCCAAAAAATGGGGAATCTTCAGCTGAGTAGACATTCACAAACAAAATTTAGGTGTTTTTACTATGGTAAAACATTCACAAAAAACAGCACGTAACTTGATGATTATTCAAAATGATTGGATCAGCGAGAATTGGGGGGGTTTTACCCTCCTGTATTCAGCTTTTGCACTGGAAAATCCCGAAAATGTAGAGATGAGATTGTCCAGCTATAAAGCTCCATTTTTTGGGATTGTCCAGCTAGCCATGTGACTGATCACCAGAGGGTATATCATCTGTAATGTCCTATGATATTCCATGAACTATCCCTATTATATCCCTATTATATCCTATCATATCTGGTTGGTGGTTTGGAACATGGCTTTTATTTTTTCATATATTGGGATTTTCATCATCCCAACTGACTCATATTTTCCAGAGGGGTAGGTATACCACCAACCAGATCCTACCACATGGGTGAAACAGATTATATACCCTCTGGTTATTTAGCATTTTGCCATGGTATAGATGGCCCATCGAAATAGATGGTTTACCTATTACCCTCTGGTAAATTAACACAGACCCTGAAAATCACCAATTTTTAGAGGAATCTAACCTTCCAACCCCTATCTACCAGGGTCTATGTTAATTTACTGGAGGGTAAAATGGTGGATCTTTCCATGGCAAAGTGTTAGTCATAACCAGATGGGATCCCCACCAAGATGGTTCAAGGCCGATTCGGCCATTGCTGTTGTCACCTGATTTGACCAATCGGGGATTGAAGGTGACGACTAACCAACAATCACCGGGGATTGATCAACCGGAATTAAGGAGTTCATCATTAAAATTGGGCATGTCGGAAAAAAAAAACTGATTGGTGGTTTCAAACATGTTTTTTTTTCAATAATATATGGGATGTCATCCTTCCCATTGACGAACTCATATTTTTCAAGATGGTTATTGCACCACCAACCAGAAAACATGGACAGTCATGGACAGTTGGACATATCTAGCCAATCTAGACAAGGCGTTTACGGCCTTCCGTTTGGATTTGAGTTAGACACCCTTTTACAGGATCAAGCAAGGCCATCCAAGGGATCCACTCAGCATGCAGCGATACCATCTGGTTATTTAATAGTTTGCCATGGAAAATCATCATTTTTAATAGGTAAACCATCTATAAATGGGCGATCTATACCATGGCTATGTTAAATTACCAGAGGGTATATGCCGTATCTCAGGCAGTCTTAGGCCGTACATGAAGGCACGAGTTTTCAATGTTAATTTCGTTTTTTCGATAAAAACAAATTGCCAACCTGATTTTATTCATGAAAGACATTGAATTCATATAAACGAACACGAAGACATACTCCAACATGAATAAACAGCAAATTGCCAACATATCTGATCAACACAACCTATAGCAGTAGCTGATTGTTGGAGTTTTGATCCGCTCCAGGTATGTGCAGCCTGAGTGCGATCCAGCGCTTGTAGCTGAATAGACAGCTCAAACGCGACAAAAGTTGGGGTCTGATTGGTGGTTTGAAATTTTTTTTATTTTTCCATATATTGGGAATAATCATCCCAACTGACCAATATTTTTCAGCGGGGTTGAAACCACCAACCAGGGTTTTATATGGCACTTAAAACTCCAGTACCTTGTAGACTAAATCTTCCACAGTCTGGGAAAAACCATGGAAAAGCCAAGCATATCTTAAAAGATGGTTCAGGTTCTCCTCTTACTGATGAAGTCGTGAACATGTTATGCGAAATGATCCCGACATCCAGACTTTTCCAATTATTCTCACCATCATCTGGTGTGCAGCTGAGGTTACAACTGGGCACAACTCAACCCTGGTGAATTAAACCCTCATAAGTTGGGATATGGGGCCCCTAGAACTATAGCCGGTATATATATATATATGTATATATATATGTATATATATATATGTATATATATATAGCCACTTAGTTCACTAAAACTGCACTTCCAAGTACAGTTGATGGATGATTTCCCATATCTTTGATTCTTTTTGAAGACGGTAATAGCTCATTCCACATCGACTTCCTGGTGATGGCAACCATGGCTTCGGAAGCCATTTTTATCGGGGGAACCAATGGCTGGGGGGCCCCAGTTAAGGCTCAGTGTTTGTGTTTGGAGGTTGAAACCCCGCCATTTTTGTTGGTTCAACCCCTGCATAAAAGTCAAGCTTAGACGAAACCTGATAAAATCCTTTGATCTTTTGCTCTATATACATGTCCCCGAAAAACATGCTGTAGAAAGTAAAATCTTGCTGAAATAGTGATTTAAATTACAGGTTCTATCTTTTGGGTGGTTAGTATAATATAGTATATATCAGTAAATATAATGTCAACCCCGGATTGGTAAACTCTGATCAATGAAATTTAGCTGAGTTCCTCCAGATAGTGTTTGCCAATTAAGCAGCCCATGGGTCTATTAATCCGGGGTTGAATTATATATTAACCAGCTAAAAGAAATGAAGGGGATCTAAGATTGGCCATGTTTCATGGCAGGAATACTCCTTCCTACAACTAGACAACGGCCTCAAAGCCATCATCGGTTCGGATCCAAAGTGCGACAAGGCGTGGCTCACCCCCACCCGCCCCACCCGCCACTGCGGTGGAATTTCTGGGCTGTTCCCCTGGCGAGGCCGGTGCGGGGCTTTGCGTCAATGTGGGCATGTGCCACGAGAGGCGCGTGGATTGTCATGTCTGCCATGCCATGCCATGAATATGCCATGAATTTGAGGTTATGGATAGGATGATTGTAAGTGGATCATTCCACTAACAGTGTTAGTTATAGTTATAATTAATGATATACCATAATTTGTGTTATACTTGGATCATTCCACGAATCACAATTTTCCATCGTAAGTGGATGTAAGTGGTTAATAAGCCAGGTTAGTAAGTGCCCTATTTCCAGGTTATCCCATGTATTTTTCTGAGATGATCCTCGAAGTTTCATAGCACTTTGCAAAATTGGGACGAGAGGTTTCAAGGGGTCTATATATAAAGTCTATATTTATGGGTGGATCATAATTTATATAGGTATTTATAGCCATTAATAGGCAACTAGCATCAACTAGCTCGAATCATTGAGTTATGAAATCTTATTTTCACCACTGGAGGAAAGATCTGCCGGGCTTGGCACATTTCTTGGAGCACATGCTCTTCACGGGCACGGCCAAGTATCCGAAGGAAGGCGTGGTTCGACCCGGGGATGCCATGAACGAAGCTTGGGCGGATCCTGGCCAGGTGAGTACCATGAGTTTATGCAGCAAAACGGTGGAGATTCCAACGCCTATACTGCCTGCTACTTCACCTGTTACATGCATGGTGCCCCAGGACAACAGGACCATGAACGGCAGACCCAACTCTGATGGCTTTTTTGATGGTCAAATGGTGACGTTGTTCAGTGATTTGGGGATGGGTCAAAACCCTGGTACCGTGCCGTGAACCCCAAGTCATAGCTGGGATTTATGGATGTTCATCCCACTATAGTAATGTATCTATAGGTATTGACCCATACCCATTTTGGGAAGGGGACAGTGAAAAATCACCAACTCTGCCCAGGTTTGAGGTGAAACCTGAAGTAATGGGAGAGGCGGAACGGGCCCGGAGGTGAAGAATTCATGAGCTGGTTGTCCTTGTTGGTTTTCAACCCCAGCTATGTGGGAACCTGCAGAACCCTAAAAAGATGGAAATTTACCACTTAGGGCGGGGGACCATTTATTGATGGACTATATATATTTGTTGTTTATTTTGTTTTAGTTCTTTTTGATTGCTCCTTCTCTGCTTTTCTGCTTCTTTGTTTTTTTCCTTTTCTGCTTCTTTGCTTCTCTGCTCTTTTGCTTCTCTGATTGTTTGCTTTCAAATTTCAAGCAATTTTGTTTTCCCCCTTATTCGCATTTCTGTGTTGCTTGCGTCTCTGGTTTTTGGCCTTTTCTGCTTCTTAGGCCGTCTCATTTTTTGGCCGTCTGCTTTTTGTAGCTTTTCTGCTCGTTTGCTTCTCTGTTTTTTCTGCTCTCTGCTTTTTGGCTTCTTCGCTTCTCTGTTTCTTTCTTTTGTTCTTGCTTGCTCTTCTGTGCTTCCTTGAAAGTACAACTACATCTGAATGCAACAAGAACACAAGAACGACAAGAATAAGAAGAAGCAGGAAAAATCAGGAAAACATTCAAGACCAACAAGAATAACCACACCTGCAAAGAAGAACCAAAACTAGAACGAAGTTGTCTCTGCGTTCCTTCCCATCTCCAGCTGTTTCCATTTTGTTGCTTTGTGTTCTCACTTTGATCTTTTTGGTGTCATTGCTCTGGTGTAAGTGTAAAGACCATGAGGCCCAGAAAAGGCCTTTTTTTATTTAAATGAACTGGTTAAGAAGACAAGGTTTCACATTGCTTCAAATATCTACAATGATTACAATGGAAGGTCGAAACTCCACAATTGAACAATTGGAGGGTTGAAGTCTCACAATGTCGGAGATCCAATGCAGTAAACCTACATTTCCTGTTTATGATTAACCAACTTACTGTACTGAACTATGCATAGTAAATATTGGTTCAACTATATATATATAATATTGGTATCAACCATGATATATAATACTGGTAATCATATGTTTTAACTGACAATACTGAAATTATTATACATAATATTGGTAATCTAGCAAATATTACCAATAGTATGGGGATGGTTTACTATACTAGTAAAATGGTATAATCACTATACCATTGGGATGGTTTACTATACATAGTAAATCACATTGCTATACCAATAGTTACCAGATCATATAAACCAATACTAAATCACACTATTATACATAGTAAATCATATAGTATTATCCCAATAGTTAAACGGGGTAAATCCCACATTCTGTTATATTACTATTGGGTAAATCCTCACATTATACCAATAACTATAGTAAATCCCCAGGTTTTATCCCTATAACTATGGTAATCCCACATGTTATACCAAAAGTCATGGTGGATTTACCCTCTGGTAAACCTAGCCACATATAACTATGGAAAGATCCACCATGCATTTTTAATTGCTAAATCCACTATTTTTATGGTGATTTACCAGAGGGTAAGTTCCATTAATCCCATTCACATCCCATAAAATCCCATTAAAATCCCATTAAATCACCATTTTCAATGGGTAAATCCACTATAAATCACCATAAATACCAGGCCGGGTACCACATCGACCTGCAGTCTTTATGGAGGCCTTGGATCGCTTCGCCCGCTTCTTCACCGAGCCAAGCCTCACTCGGGACTGCACCGAGCGCGAGATCAACGCGGTGCCTCTAGGGCGGGTTGCGGGAACCGACACGGAAGTGATGGTGGAGTTACCCGGCCTGGTAAACGTAGCCACATAACGAACTGGAAAGATCCACCATGAATCTTTAATGGGAAAAATCCACTGTTTTTATGGCAATTTTCAACAGCAAACTGTTAAATTACCGAAGGGTATGTGAGTTGAAAAACTCGTTGAATTTGACATCTGACTATACTTCAGTATAGATGTCTGAACACTTTTGTCTGAAGTGATTCATGAATTCTTTTGGAAGTTGCTGGTTGATTTGTGGATTTCAGCACACGGCGTCACGGCTTGGGCGAGTAAGCGAGTAGTGCCCGTTCCCCCTATCCAGCGGCAGGTCCCGTTGTTCTCTTGTGATTCAATGGGCATTCTCTTGAACTTCAATTCAAGGACCAAAAGAAAGACCTGTTCACCAGGATATGTACGTATTACATCGTATTACAGTATGATTACATGATGGTGTTGCTAAATTCCAACAGCATCTGATGGTTTTTTCCAGGATATTAGAATCACGACCTACCCTCGGGTAACATGGCGAAATCATCCAACTGGGGGATGTCCATGGCAACAGTTTCATGGCCGGTGTATTTTTAGCATTCAGTCCCCAAAACACCAGAGGTATGAACAGAGGTATTAACCATTTTTGACTGTTAAACAATGGCTAATACCTCTAGTTTTTTTTTAGCCATGCAGTTGTTGAAGAGTTACCAGAAGTATGAAAACCATTGGTCAACCCAGTTATCCCCAGATACTGTATGTTTGTTTCTTCTCTTCAGTGCGCACCATGTTGCCTCACTGTCCATGCTGTCCATGGCTTTGTTGATACAGGCTATCACTGAAATAAATGGCTAAAAAATGGCCATGATTGTTAATATGATGCTACTTGGTGGCTCATCCCACGAATCGTAAGTGGGTTATAACCCCAGTTATAAGTGGGTTATAACCCCAGTTATAAGTGGATTAACCCTACTTATCCCATTTATAACTGGGGTTATAACCCACTTACGATTCGTGGGATGAGCCACCAAGTACAAATATGATCAATTATGTAGAATTGTAGGGAATTGTAGTTATTGGGAATTATAGTGATTTATACATAGGGATTATGCCACTATTAAATAGGGGTTTTGTTCGATGATTGTCGCTGGGATCATATCCCGAATTATGGGGCACCATCTCCACTAGGTCAACCACCCCCACAACTTATATGTTGGTTTATAAACCCAATGAATTAGCCCTAATGTGGGTAAAACAATCATAAACCATCCCCCAGTCATCACCATAGGTGGTATGGCAGGTATGGTTACCATTCCGAAATGGGTGGTTTTCTTTTGGGTTTGTTCTTGTTTTACCCACTAATTATGATATATTTCTTTTGTTACCAACTGAGCAATTCCGAACTGGGGCACCACCGAACTCAGGTGGATTCGGAGTATCAAGCAGGACTCACATCCCCCTGGTGGCGCTACGTCCGCCAGCAAGAGGATGGTACAACGTGGTGTACGAGTCGTGGTGTACAACGTGTTATATCATGTTAATGATATGATGTTATATATATACAATATATATATAGTAATGTTAATGATTAAATTATAGTAATGTTAATATTAATGATTAATGATTAATGATTAATGTGATGTATATATTTATAGTAATGTTGTACAGCCTCAAAAAACAATAAATCCCACTATAAAATAGTGGGATTTCAGAAACTTTTATCTTTTTAGGGCTTACTATAGTCCACGAGGGGAATCCCGAGGGACTAGCCAATCTAGCATGGCACATGGGATTGCACAATTGAATCTCTGTCTTTGAGGAAGTAGATCATGCTAAAACTCATGATGAGTGAAGGGACATTTTGAGACTTGGAAGCCAGGATTGTACACCCATCTAGCGGTTATACCCATGTACAAATACTGCCTGCATTCTTTGCAAAGGAGCATGCCTTCTCAGTGATTTGCTCAGAGATACCTGGTACAAAGTAGGGCCCCCTAGATAGCTAAGTTTGTTTATAACTCCACTAAGTGTGGTTTATGATACTTACAACTGCGCTTCGGGGGGTTATAACGGTTATAACCCAACAAGCATCACTCAGGGGGCCCCTAGCTATGAACACAGTCCGTTTTTCAGTTGCGTTTCGACCTTCATCGAGGTGGGAATCCTCAACATGAGCGCCAATCCGGATCACCCTTTCCATGTGGCCGTTGGCAACAATAAGGTGGAGAGCATGATCTGAGTCAGCCTTGTTAGTGGTACGTTCATGGGATTTAGATGGAGTTAGTAGGTTATTTATTGGGATTTGTTGGGAGATGTTAGGAGTTGATGAAATTTCATGGATGTTGATGGGGATTTCATGGCATTTCATGCGACATTTTCTGCCGGGAAGTCCCAAAGGTTCGGGGCCCTGTCCTGGCAGGTCCTGCTGGAAGATCCCAAAGAGAAGGGGATCGACCTCTATGACGAGATGAAGAAGTTCTATGCCTGGATCCTCAGTGATCTTTTCTCGCCCGCCTGGGTCTCCCATTGTTCTGAAATGCTGCTGGTGATTTTTTTTTGTCCATCAGAGTGTTTTCAAAGTGGATTGTTTTGAGGGTCAACCTTCAAAATACCATCTGGTTATTTAACATAGTCATGGAAAATCACCATGCTATTAATTGGAAAACTCACTATTTCTATGGCCACCTATACCATGGCTATGTTAAATAACCAGAGGGTAAATGATGATGCTGAAAAACTTCAAAGATTCTTCAAAGAAATGGCTGACGGTCAAATCTTCTCATTTCTGGAAATGAACATCGCCATGGTTTTTTTTTGGGGCATACCATGGTATACCCCATTTTCCAGACACATCTACCCGGCCTGGTAAACGTTTACATAACCATGGAAAATCACCATCTTTAAATGGGTAAATCAACTATTTCTATGGCAATTTTCAATAGCTATGTAACAAATTACCGGAGGGTATGTTTGAGTGAGGTAGATTCTCTCGTCGGACAATCTTTTGCGCCATGAAATTCACAGGAATCCACCTACTCTGCCAATGGCATGACGCCGTGCCCTCAGTCTGAGGGAATGGGTTGGTTGAAGCAGCAATGATGGGAAATCTCACCTTAATCAGTCTGTACCATAAAAGATCTCCGAACTTTGAGAGTTTACCGTTCACCGAACGATAGTTGGATTTTCAGCAACCCTGAGTTTTGATGTTTGATGTTTGTAAGCCTGTATACCCAATGTGGTAAACCCAATAAAGTACCTCCAATTTTTGGAGGGTTATACCACCCATGTGGGTCCAATGGATATGATATGAAAATGAGTAGAACATAGCAAGAAACAAAGTCAATGATGATTGTGTAATGCAGCCTTGGAAAACAACAAGCATTGTTGCCACTGGTCAGGTCAAGACCGATGATTGTGCCACGGTCAGACTATTTTTCTATGCCATGGACATTGATACATATGTATACATAATGGATTGTAGTTATAAATGTTAATATTATACATTGTGCATACAAGCTTGGATACCAGCATTTATGAATCATGTCATGTGATGTCATGTCTTATCATGTTGTGTCCTATTCTATCACATCATATTGTATCGTATCTGGGCTCTTGTATCCTGTATCGTGCATCACATATAACATAGCTTGATGGACAACACATGTGTCGTATCATTTTGTATCATTTCACAACATATCCTAAATATCCAAACCCATGCGTTGAGGGAGATGTTCATTGTTCGAGGTGTAATATTGTTCTAATCAAATTGAAGTACGGACCCAAGTGCAAGCACCAACATTCTGGGTGGGCAAATCCACAACAAAATGGCTCTGATTTTTTTCTGATAGATTCCTACAATATATATATACAGTATATATATTTATACATACACATGTGGAATTTGATCAGATCATTGATTGTTTGCCCATTCTCTCACTATTTACTGGCCACCCCCATGTTGGATGGCTGTGCCTGCAGGTTTTGGGGATGGATACCCTCCGTTTTCAAACACCGGCGTGTTGGAAAAGTCTCCATTTACGGATGATCTTTTCATTGAGACCTCCATTCATAGTGGATTGCCCAGCTAAGGCTATGATTTCGGTACCATATACCCGGCCTGGTAAACATACAAAAAGCGAACTGGAAAATCACCATATTTCATAGCTAAATCATCTATAATCATCTATTTCTATGGGCCATGGCTTCCATAGCTATGTTAAATTTCCAGAGGGTATAAATCTATAAATCGTCAGAAGTTCTGGAGATGGATTCTCCACCAGCCCGTCCCGAACAGGCTCTGTGTTTTCGGGAGGAAGCCCACTGCACAGATGGAAGAAATCTTGCGAGAGAAGCAAGGGATGTCCAGATATGGTGAGAGCAAGGAGCTGGTGTATGTGGGCATCTCTCGTCCAGATATCATTAAAAAATTGGCTGAACTTTGTTGCTTCTAGCTACAGATAGAGGATTTCTGTAATTCTTCATTGCCAAAGGGAAGTTCTAGTGGTTTCAAACACTGGTGATTCATGGTCACGATGTGGGGTAGAACCATGTAGACCTGTCAAACAGCCTGGTTGCTGGGTCAAAATACAATCTACATCAAGTCACTACCTGGAAGTTTGACCACTTGAAGCATATTCTTAGTATGGGATCGGTGTATTCCAACATTTTTTCAAGGACCGTCATTTCAATAGTGTCTATTGGGACAATACAACCTGCTTTTTGTTACATATTTGAAGAATAAAGGAGGGCTATTTCACAGGTCGCTGAGAATATGTAAAGTATATATAAATAAATAAATAAATCCATTTCATGTATATAAATTTATATATATATAATTATATACATATACACATACATGCAGGACGTTTCTTGTTTGACTCTGACTATGTTGAATGCTTCATCCAGTTTTTTTCGCCGCTGCCGTGAAGCAAAGTGCAAAGAATTCTGGTGCTATGATGAGGTTTCAATTAATTTCAAGATGTCTAAACGCCCTTTGAAGGTGAAACTCTCACCTCATTTTAAGTCAACAGATGTTTGGATCAAGATGGCACATGGGGCAGCAGTTGGAAGCTCGAAGGATGGCAAGTGGCTAATTCATCTTGGCTTTCCATCCTTCTAGAGATATCAAGAAAGTCTCAGTTTTCATAGTTCATCATATTTCTTTTTACCTAGGTGCTTGAATTCGCACATTGAAATGCTTCAACTATATGTTCAACTGAATTGCCGCAGTTGCACCGCAAAATCTCATCACTTTCCCCTTTTCTCAACTTTTCGTCCACACAAAAGGCGCCATGGCGCTGCCGAAGACCGCCTCAGTGCCCATCTGGCAGCCCTTTGCAAAAGGCAAATGGCCAGCCGGACTGCCACGAAGCGCCTCTGTGCTGATGGGGGCTGGTTTAGAGACACCAAATAGAGATGATGAGTTGGTAATGAATACCCTCTGGTAATTTAACATAGCTATGGAAAATCACCATTTTTAATGGGAAAATCCACTATATATGCACCAGGCCCTGCCACCCCCCCCCACATGGGATGGGTCCCATATACTGGCCCCATATGAGATCTTCCCCCTCCCCCCCCTGTGGTGTGGTGGGGGTGTGGTATGGTATGTTGGGTATGTATGGTGTGTATGGTCGGTCTGGTATGGCATGTTTGGAAAGTATGGTATGTTTGGTAGGTATGGTATATATGGCATGAGTGGTTGGTATTGTATGGATGGTAGGTATGGTATGTAAGTCTGTTGGGTATGGTATGTTTGATATGACAGTATGTATGGTCTGTATGGTATGTATGATTACAATTATGGGTATGGGATATTTTTTATGTAGGTAGGTACGGTATGTATGGCATGTATGTTTGCTATTGTATGTATGGTAGGTGTGGTAATTACATTTCATATGTATGGTATGTACGGTATGTATGGTATGCATGGTATGTATGGTATGCATGATAGATATGATAGGTATGGTATGCATGGCATCATTGACATGTATGGTAGGTACGGTATATGTTAAACACAGGTAGTGTTGTCAGAGTACACAGGTAGTAAGTAGGACGTAGATACAGTAGATGCATAGCACATGTATATATGACTATAGGTAGCACGTAGATACTTTGAAGGAGTATGTGTGCTACGCAGGTCGCCTAAAAGGTAGCATGTACCTAGTAAATGCGCGGCTGGTAGTCAGAAATGCTGCAAAGACCTAGCAAATACGAAGCTGGACCTCAGAAATGCTGCCAATAGCTTGCAAATAGAAGGGAAGGGGGGTGCTACCTGGGGACCCAGCACTGTCCCCCTCCCCCCCTGTGGCGTGGTGGGGGTGTGGTACTGTCCCCCTCCCCCCCTGTGGTGTGGTGGGGGTGTGGTATGGTATGTTGTGTATGTATGGTGTGTGTGGTCGGTCTGGTATGGCATGTTTGGAAAGTATGGTATGTTTGGTATGTATGGTAGGTATGGTATGTATGGCATGAGTGGTTGGTATTGTATGGATGGTAGGTATGGTATGTAAGTCTGTTGGGTATGGTATGTTTGATATGACAGTATGTATGGTCTGTATGGTATGTATTGTTACTATGATGGGTATGGAATATTTCCTATGTAAGGTAGGTATGGTATGTATGGCATGTATGTTTGCTATTGTATGTATGGTAGGTGTGGTAATTACATTTCATGTGTATGGTATGTATGGTATGTATGGTATGTATGATAGATATGATAGGTATGGTATGCATGGCATCATTGACATGTATGGTAGGTACGGTATATGTTAAACACAGGTAGTGTTGTCAGAGTACACAGGTAGTAAGTAGGAAGTAGATACAGTAGATGCATAGCACATGTATATATGACTATAGGTAGCACGTAGGTACTTTGAAGGAGTATGTGTGCTACGTAGGTCGCCTAAAAGGTAGCATGTACCTAGTAAATGCGCGGCTGGTAGTCAGAAATGCTGCAAAGACCTAGCAAATACGAAGCTGGACCTCAGAAATGCTGCCAATAGCTTGCAAAGAGAAGGAATTGGGGCTGCTACCGGGGGACCCAACCCATGGGGGGGGGGAGGAGGGGGGGGTGTGGAGAGACGGAGGACGGGACCATATATGGTCATTTTCAATAGCTATGTTAAATTACCAGAGGCTACACCTTGTTAAATGAAATCCATTTAAACGTGATTGATAGCGGTTGTTAATATGAATTATATATTGGTATTTTTTCACAAAGCCTGGAGAATTTAACGATATGTTCTCCAATAAATGCACTTCAGCATACTTCAGCTGGCATGCCTCCAGTTGCAGTCAGTGATTTCCCCTGATTTTTCAAAGTTGAATTGGCCATTTTGAGATACATCATATTTTTGGACAAACTCATCATGCAATGATCAATTTTCTAAATCCTGGAGCACTGCTCCATGGAAATTGAACAGGATGGAACAGGATACAACACATGGAACAGTTCTCTTATTGATGCGTATCTACAAACATATTTGTATTGTAGATGTAGCCACAAAGCGTGCTGATATGCGCAAAACGATGTCCTGCCATGGATTTCCATCAACCAGTGGCGGGTTGATTCTTGCACTTCTGGACATGACTGGTGCATCCCCCTTTCTTTCCCCATTTGGATACCCTCTGGTAAACTAACATAACTATGGAAAATCCCCATTTTTAATGGGTAAATCCACTATAAATAGCTATTTTCAATAGCTATGTTAAATTACCAAAGGGTATTACATATCCTAGGGTAAAGTAACACAAACATGTGGAAAACCCATGGTTTCCCATCATCGATTCCAAGATTCCTTGAAGGCGAACCACCATGGGTGTGGCTTAAGATCATTGGGATTCAATCAACCGCCCAAAGGTCAACCTTTGCTGAAGAGTACAGAAATCTCCCAAACATATGGAGAAAAATAAAGCCCGATCCTAAATAAAAATGGCACGTTTTAAAATGTTTTAAACATCTCCATCTTTTTTTCTGAGTCACTATAGATGGTTAAGAACTGAGCAGTGTCAAAAAAAACATAATAAACCCATTGGTTTATTAATATGGAAGTTCTACGAGCCTATTGAAAGGGGGTTATTTCAATCCATTGGAATAGCAAACAAACCATGGAGGCAACCAACTGAAAGTGGTACCAAAAAACTCATAGAAACCAGGGGTTGATTGACGATGATCAATTTCAAAGTAAACCACCAATTTTTTGGTACTACTATAATGTATTATAATGTTCATAAGATGTTCCTAGGTTTTCTTGTAGATTTCCCTTAAGCCAATCCTTTGATAAATTGAGAACGAGCCCCATCCATGACCCAACTGACGGACGTTACAGGCACCTCATTATCGCGTAGCGTCCTAGCTGATGTCTGTGCAGCTTTGGTCGTAGGCCCGGTGACGGGTGGGACTCTGTTAGTGGGAACAATAGGGATTTTGCCCGCAAAAATGGAGATTGAACCAGGAAAATGTGGGTACAGCTAGCTATCACTACTACATATCATATACATATATTATATCATATGTACGCATATATAACATTTGGTTGGTGGTTTAAGGGAAACACACAATAATTTCAACAGCAAACATTGGGATGTTCGGAAAACTGGGGATGTTCACCCGGAGATTCAACAAAGGTTTCGACATGTCTGGCAGCCAGGATGGCCAGTAAACAGCATTGTTTTTAACCATGGCTTCCATGTAGGGTATCTTAGATTTTTAGTCCCGAAGATTATTTTGAATGTCAGAAAAGATGTGAATTTCGCTCTTTAGCCGCCAAAGATCTCTGGCATTGGCATTGCAATATACCCTCTGGTAATTTAACATAGCTATTGAAAATGGACCATTTATAGTTGATTTACCTATTAAAGATGGTGATTTTCTATAGCCATGTTAGTTTACCAGAGGGTACCAACAAAAAAACCAACTTCCTGCATCCTGAATCCCCAACCCATTGGATGTTTCCCAACACTTGTCGCATGTATTGTATGAACTAGGGAATCACGACTATACCAAGCTGCATTTTTAGCACATTATCGATGTCACTGGAATGATTTTTTTTGGATGTGGGAAAGTATCCCAAAATGCCGAGCATTTCAGGTGGCCGAATTACGAGAATTCAGCCAGATAGATCTATATAATTCTCATATTCTCATATTGATTGTCCCAGTGATTATCCCAATTAGATCCCGAAAAATCATAGAAAATCCCCATTGAATCTACTGAATTTTTCCCCAGTGATTATCCCAATATTGATTATCCCAATATTAATCTCGATATCCCATGAGAAAATCCATTTCCGGTGAAGTTTTCGACCTTTTTTAAAGCTGCCAGGTTTGGCGTTGGCATTGATGCTGGCACCCATTGACCTGGCGATGCTACGTGCCTTCAGAATGCAAACTGGTAATCAACCCTAGCTAGTTAGTCATCCCCCAAAAAATATCTAGCTTTAATCATGAATTATAGATGATTTTAGTACCCATAGCTATTGTTCGTAAATTCTGTGCAAATGATCTTAGATGATTCAGTATGAGTATATAGTATTATATAGCGAAGATATGTGAAGATGGTTTTTGTTTTTTTGGTGACTAATTATAGATGTCTACAGCAACTTGTTACGAAATATGAGTCGGGATTCCGGATATCCTGTAGTTACTTTAAGATATCTAACTGCTTTGTATCTAAGTGGTAAGCAACCCTCTATTTGTCAAGAAATCATCGGTGTATGTTTATAATATATATATATATATATAAATAATAGGGATAGAACCAACTATAGCAATACTTATGATTGACAAACTATAGTGAACATAAAATTACATAGACATCCTTTCCCCCTGGTTGATTTTTTCAGAGGGGTCCACCATTCAACAACCTCTATTAAATATGATTTTATTCAGAGTATAACAAACAGGCCGCGCAACACTTTTCTGAAAAGGACTTGCTATAGCAAGACTATGCAAGACTTCTAGTAGTTACCCTCTGGTAATTTAACGTAGCTATGGAAAATCACCATTTTTGATGGGAAAATTCACTATTTCTATGGCCATTTTCAATAGCTTTTTGTATGTTTACCAGAGGGTACTGGAAAATCCAACATTACTTGGATCAAAAATCAACGGCATCTTTTCTACGGTGACTTTTGGATGACTGGATGACGTGCAGTTCCACTGGCCAAAAGGTCAACCCTTTCCAGCTATAGTCATATCATGTCATATCCATTTTTTTGGAGCCCGCCTTTGTCAAAAAAAAACAAAATCACAATGAATTTTGAGTATGCATCATTATGATCTATGTCTACATGATAGTCCCATGATAATCCTGTTTTTCTCGTATGATACATCCTCATAGTTGATTGCCCATCTTGTTTCCAGCTCCAGCTCCATCATTTCTCGTGTCAATCTGATTTTCGCAAGTGAAAAAACCAGAAAGTCATAGAAAGCCGGTTCCCTATTATGGACCTGGAGTATCCACAAAATGTCATGCTTTACGCTGAGGATCTCTGGCAGAGCTTTTCCTGATGGGATCTCCTTTTTCTAAAAACGCTTCCCTAACAACGCTTCCTTCGCCCGAGGTGCCGGAAAGCCCGAGTCACCGGGGGCCATTGCTTCATTGGCCCAAGTCTTTGGCGATTGCTTTCTGAAGCTCGGTCACAGGAAGGAACTGACACACGATGGATGAAGGAACATCGAATTTAGCTGACTCAAAAATTGGGAGATTGACAAAACTTGGATGAATTACATAAAGATAGTAGGTTTTGGGATATCAACCAATCAAGAACAACAGAATAACCAACCAAAACTTGGGAATACATCCATTGGCTGCGATGATGGGATGGGAACTCTTGGACGCGGTAAGGCAGTATTGGTTATTATCGGTTACCCTCCAATTGAACATAGCTATGGAAAATTGTCATTTTCCCGGTGAAATCGTCTATAAATGGGCCATGGCTTCCATAGCTATGTTAGATTACCAGAGGGTGTATTATATAATATATAGAATATCTATAATTTATACCATTTGATCCATTTGTATCCCAAATTTTTGGGTTCAACCTGTACAGTTGCTGGCGAGAAGATATTTATTTACATTGGACTTGTCAACAGTTACCCAGTGTCTGATTGACTATCTCTAAAACCTATTTACCCAGACTGGATGTTTGTTGCATATTAATCCCAATCTTATCCATTTATACCCCCGTTCAAAAAGTAATGTAGATCATTTAGTCCCAACTTAGATGGATGTGTGCTGCTTATTTCAGTTGCAGACCCATAGACCCATAAAATCACCTTCTTCATCATGTTTCATCATCACTAAAATCTGGATTATCATCCACTGAAACTGTCATCATCCATTAAAAGTGGATTATCACAATTATCAGCAACTTTAACCCATCATCTATAAGTAGATTATTCAATGGGAATTTCAGGATCCTAAATTGGAGGTAGCCACCATATGTAAGGCCTATTCTTTAGGCCTTAATTTCAGGGATTATCCCCACACATTTTGGCCTTATATGGTACGTTTACGTACCTCCATCAATTGGATCCTGAAGATCTCCCATTGATCTATGAATTTGGATGATCACAATATATCACAATTATCAGCCACTTAAAATTTTAAACCCATCATCTATAAGTGGATTATCACCTTTAAACCCAACGGTTTTTTGCCCGGAAAAAGGTCAGATGTCTGCCACCTGAGGCGTCCCTTGAGCGTCCTGCCAGCCATCGCCTGGACCTGGCTGACCTTCAGCGGGACCTACGCCGTGGCCAACGTGGTGCGCAGCATCTGCACGGCCCGACAGCTGCCCCCCGCGGTCTATGACGCTTGGACGCCACGGCGGGTGGGGGGAAAACTGAATGGAAAAAGCCATGGAACACAGAAAACCTGGGGATTTCCATGGGGATTTCGTAATTTCACCATCAAATGATAGGGATACCCTCTGGATATGACTAACATAGCTATTGAAAATGACCATAGAAATAGTGAGTTTTCCCATGAATAGCATGGTGATTTTCCATAGTTATGTGGCTGTTTACCAGAGGGTACAGAAACTATGCAGCACATGGAATCTTTTAAAATGTCCTCGAAATCCTATTAAACAATCCGATAAAAACAGTTAGAAGAATACCATAAAACCTTAAACTTTCTCGGAAATTCCATTAACATCCCCTAAAATCCACTAGACGTGCCATAAAATCTTAATCGCATGGCCAGTTGGTTTGAGAATCGCATCAAAGCTGTGGTAGATATGTAGAACATGATGAATATGTTTTCTTCCGCAGGAGATTGGCTCGAAATGTTTCAAGAGCACTGAATTTGCTCTAATCTTCTTCTATGAGAAATGATTTACATAAACCTTGCCTTGCCCAGTGGCAAAAGAAAATGTTTGGCACTTGAGGAGTCCTCCAAAGTAGGGGACTTAAAAAAATTGGCCCAGAAGGCTTTCGGACAAAGTTTAGTCAGGCTTGTCAGTGGAGGAGGCCACGTCCTGAATGATCCCGAGAAGTCACTGGAGGATGCAGGGATTCACGATGGTGACCATGTCACAGCTGTTGCACAACAAGCAAAGCTAGCCGCAACAGCAGGGGCCTTTGCATTGTGGTCTCATGGAGGTGACAGAATTGTTACCTGGGGCCACCACAGCGTCACGAGCAATTGCTCTGCAGTCCGAAACAATCTTGGAAGTGTTCAGCTGGTGCAAGGCACTAGAGTAGCAGTACTTGAAGAGTCGCTATATGACGACGCATACCTAGCTGGGGCCTTTGCTGCCATCTTGGAAGATGGCTCAGTTGTGACGTGGGGCCAGCCGGCGTGCGGTGGCAATAGTTCTGCAGTCAGCGATCAGCTCAGGAATGTGCAACAGGTGCAGGCCACATGTGCTGCATTTGCTGCACTCCTGGCCGATGGTTCTGTCGCTACATGGGGCAATCCAAACTATGGCAGTGATAGCTCTGCAGTCCAAGATCAACTCAGGAGCGTGCAGAAAATTGAAGCCACATGGGGTGCTTTTGTGGGGATCCTGAGTGATGGCTCTGTTGTCACCTGGGGCAATCCAGAGTCGGGTGGCGACAGCTCTGATGTGAGGCATCAGCTGAAGAATGTCAAGCAGATTACAGCCGCTGTTGGTGCATTTGCTGCGACCTTGCAAGATGGATCAGTGGTGACTTGGGGCGCCGGTGGCAACAGCTCTGAGGTCCAAAGTCAGCTTCAGAAAGTGCAGCAGGTTCAATCTACAGGTGGTGCCTTCGCGGCGCTTCTTGAAGATGGTTCTGTTGTGACATGGGGCCATCCGGGGTTCGGCGGGAACAGCTCGGCAGTCACCGATCAGCTCAGGAATGTGCGTGAGGTTCAGGCCACATGGTTTGCATTTGCTGCGATCCTGGCAGATGGATCTGTCGTTACTTGGGGCGATCCACATGGTGGTGGTGACAGCTCTGCAGTCCAAAATCGCCTCAGGAATGTCAAGCAGATTGAGGCCACAAATGCTGCATTCGCGGCAATCCTGGCAGATGGATCAGTGGTGACTTGGGGCGAACCATACACCGGTGGCAACAGCTCTGAGGTCCAAAGTCAGCTTCAGAAAGTGCAGCAGATTCAGGGCACTGCGGAAGCATTTGCCGCAATCCGGTCAGACGGCTCGCTAGTTGCATGGGGCAATACAATGTGCGGTGGTGAGTTCAGAACGCACGTGATTGACCTGGATACCGCACTGTCTCGGCTTGTCGAATAAACGCCATAGCTGTTGACAGAGTTGTTTGATCTTTTTTTAAAAAAACCCTGAAACTATTATCATTATTATTATTATTACTATTATTTTTATTATGATCTATTCTATTCATTTTTGGGCCCCAGAAGTGGGGTGTCTTGTCTTTTTGTATTGAGCCACAATCACGGACGGGCATCCACAATGACTCGATGATGATGAGCAACTTTTACTCCAACATTGTATCATCTTTGATAGGAGTATATCACCCATAGGATCCATGGTGCTGGTATATATATGCTAACATAAAGGGGGTATATGGATGGGATCCATGTTACCATATATATATATATAGCATACATGGATCCTATGGGTCAGTATATCAATGTGGTTCTGCATCCCAACATGATCTGCTTGGATGTGCATCCCAACTATAGTAGTCACAATGTGGAAGAAAGAACCCAGATGTAAGTGGGGATGTTCCGTTTATAACTGGAGTATCATGTGGTTACTACCCCCTTACTAAACGGGACCAACGATGACCATGGCTAGGTTGAAACTGTTTCAACCGAAAATATGTTTGGAGTTTGGGGATTTGAAAGTGACTGAACTTGGATTGGGTGTCATTTCGCGGCTGGAGAATAGAACTTTGGCAACATCTAATAATTCAAGAAAAATAGAAAAGGGTACTAGAGAAATCACAAATTTGTTCATGTGCGGTACTGAAGCATTGAATTTTGGTGTCAATTTGTTTTTCATCAGTCTCATTTTTTGGTCCAGTTCTTTATAACTATTGTTGCACGATGCTGTCGCTGATTCAGGGAAGCAAACAAATGGGGATCGATCAAACCCTATAGCAAATACATGGAAATACCATCCTTCGGGGTATGAACCAGGGACTCCATGGGTTTTGAACCAGCGATCGCAGCTTGTAGTCACCAGATGTTCGTCAACTGTGAACGCTCGAAATTTCATCCCAGATGGTTGGTTTCAGCAAATTCTAGTCCTTATCACTATAGTTATGGTTTTCCCCTTAAGACATATATCAGGCGTGGCCAATTCAACCCCCAAACCCCATCTTCCCGTAACGTGGTGAAGTTGCCGGTTCTGAGATGTCATGAAATGTCGAGGTTTGGCTGTTCACCACGGTGGTGCAGTGTGTCATCATGTGTTTGAAGGATGCCTTCCTCACGGGTGGCATTGCTCCCCCATTGGCGGCTTGGACTTGGATGGTCCACGAAGACCCATTTTTTTTCCAGTTTTTGGAGGGTCTGGCGGTCTGGCCTAGCTATATTTCGGCTTTGATTTGGGGGTGAAACCGCACCTTAAAAAAGGGATGTTTTCCTTTTTGGTCCATGTATGTCGATATATCCGGCCATGCGGGGTGGTGCGGTGACGATTACAACTGGCTTTGTTTGTCATGTTTCAGCCTCCATTCCCCTCAAAAAGTACCATTCACATGCCATGTCAGAAGCGTCAAGTGAACCCAAAGGTGACCCTCCTATAATAGATGGTTAAGATTTGCCCATAGCGTTGTGTTTTTTGGTGGTCAAGATTCCCCCTATCCATCAACCTTTAGGAATGGGCTGATTGAGTCTCCATCTCTTCACCCCCCAAGCCTCCACCATCTCCAACCCCACTTTAGATGGACCCTGGTGACCCTGGGAGTTACCTGGTGTTTTTTTCAAAAAATCATGGCCATCTCCACCATCTAAAAGCCACGCCAGCAGTTCACCTGTCACCCGCCGAGGCCGCGGTGGTGGTGTGGGTCCTGCGCGACCTGTCCTTCTCCCTGGTGGTCTTCGTTCTTCCGGAGCCCCTCAGCAGGTGGTTCACCTCGAAGGGCGTCACTTCGGTGGCCGGGGTGCCCATCCAGGACGGGAGCGAAGGCAGCGAAGGGCCATCCCAAAGGGTGTTTGTTGGTTATGAGTCGAGTGATGAGTTATAAGCTATATGATATAGTTATTCATATAAAAGTTAAAGTTAACATTTAAGTTGAGGTTCATATATAAGTAAGTTATATAGACAGTTATCATAAGTTAAAGATTTAAAGTTCATATATAATAAGTTCTATTTCATAAGTTAAAGGTGGAAGCCTGGCCTAAACACCAAGGACCAGATTGCAACGGACCCTCTGGGGGCACACAAACATGGCTTGAACATCCCCCATTTGGATCCATTTAGTTCGATGATTTGTTCATTTCAATGCCCGAATTTTTGGGATTTCCCAGCCATCCATGTTTGAGGACACCACATAGTCAATCAATATATCATAAAATATCATAAAATTTATATCATCCCACTATTCTTGGGTGCTATCCCATGAAATAATATGAAATAATTATATCCCTGAAATATCATGATATCCCAGATATCCCATGAAATTCCCCCAATTTTATCATGAAACTTTCCCTCAACTTCGCCAGGACTTGTTGCAGATTCTGCTGCCGCAGCCCCTTCAACTCATCACCAGCCCCTTGCACTTCTTGGGTGTCTCCTATGTGGCCGCACCTCGGCGACCCGATTTCGGATGGGGAAGAACTGGCCCTTAAATTTCAATATGGGCCATCATAGATGTGGAACACCCACCGTTTCCCTAGGACAATGATCTACAAATGATGGGTTTTGCCATGAAAAATCATGGAAACCATGGAAAAAATGGGGAAAACATGGGCAAATCAATGCAAATCATCTCCGTTCATCTGTCATTTTCCATGGCACCGTGTGAGATTCTCAGATTAGGCTCAGCTACTCAGAATGATTTTTTATCCAGCTATATTTCGGTTGGTTTCGTCGATTTTCTGCAAAACTCCTAAAGATTTTTGCTTCGACTCATTTGAATACACGGTGTTTCCTAAGATTGGGCTATCCCAAGCCATTAGGTTCCTCACATAACAAATCACTTAGATGATAACTTTGGGTTCCGGCATGACTTCGGACATCCCCATTGCACCGTTGACACCCTACGATCATCGAAGAATTTATTTCATGATTCCCTTCCATTATGATCTGGTATACATATATGGGAAGGTTGTCCATGTTGTTTCCTTGGCAAAGGGCCCCCGTAGTTTCAACAACAAGGCCGCCACTGCACATCGACAGCTGTCCTTGGCGCAGCATCTCCACACCGCCTTCCGTGAGTTCTGGTTGCGGGTGGGGATCCGCTGTGCCCGGGTGCTGGTGCCCTATTGCTTTGGTGCGGTGGCGAACCGGAGGTTGAGGACACAAGGGTGATCGGTGCGTTGGTGCAAAGAAACTCATATATCACTATAGGGTTTATGGATGTTTATGGTAGATATATCATGATATATCATGATATCTATATACTGCATGGAGGTATATAAACCAACTTAGAAGTGGGCAGCACTGCCTTGTATCAATCGTAAAGGATATCAAGTTGGGATTGGTGAAATGCTTGATCCTCTAGCGCAAAATGGCACCATATTAATGGTCCCTCAAAATGAATAGATCTATACTAAACCATGGTCCCGATGGTCCTGTGGGGTGCATTTGAAAATAGGCAGAAGGGAGGGAAACAAAAAACACCTTGGGACTCAAAAACCAGCACCTGGGGTACTAAAGTTGACAAAAGAATGGTCCAATTGCTTCATATTTTGAAGGACAAATCAGCGAAAAACAGGCCGCACAGGGTATCCCTTGGAAACGATCATAGGATGATCAAACGGAAGGACTGCAATGATTCAGTGGCTACAGAGTACCAACTGGTGAACGATCAAGTTCTCAAGCCTGAAAATGGACCCGCTTAAATAGCTATGAAAATATAGGGAAGATGATCAAAGTCCGGTGGAATTGAGGATTTACCGCAAAAATTGTCAGACAAACCCATGTGGCCCATGTGTTCACTGGAAATGTTGAGAGCCATTCAAACAGCTCTTGATCGGTTTGATTCTGACTAGACTTGAAGACACTCGGTGCTCCTTGTCACTAGACAAAGCGACACAGTTTCTTGCTTCTTGGTTGATTTTTCTTACCCTCTGGTAAACTAACATAGCTATTGAAAAATGGCCATTTATAGTGGATTTTCCCATTAAAGATGGTGATTTTCCATAGCTATGTTAAATTACCAGAGGGTAGCTACCATTGACCACTGACTTTTCCAAGCCTAAATCTTCATTGCTCTGCATTTAAATGCTATGGTGGTGAATCCCCCATTCTTGGTGGCAAATTCCCCATGAAAATCGGCCAAGTTGGGACCATGGCCGCTGTTCTTAACCACCGGATTTCCCACAGGAGTTTCTTCGAGACATCGTTCAAACCGACGCTGGCGTTGCTCAGTGTGGCCATCAGCAGGATGTTATCAACTCGTTGGGTGAATCCTTTCATCCTTACTATTAAAATCTATTAAATAGCCCCAAAAAAAAACATCGTTTGGGGGATTTTATACACATTTGGGACACAAAAAAAGGGGGGTGTTTAATATTAGACAAACCTGGATTTGGGGACTTACTAACCAGGAATTCTTATGAATTCTTAGCATTCGGATCAGTCACCTGCCTGGTTCGTGATTTTACATATTTTGATTTTCAGCAATAGAAACGGGATGCTGATTCTCATTAAAGGGATTGTCATTAAGTCATTGTCATCAACTGAATGTCATCCGTGAATGATCTAATCCATTCTTCAGTATCATCTAGTATCGTTCATCATCCATTATCCATGAGAATCCACCAGCATCCAGACATTATCATACTGCATTTCAAATCCATTACGTTCATCATTTGCCATCCATCAAGTGTCATGAAATCATCAAGTAGTTACTCGATGTTACTCGTAGAATACAGTCAGTTTCATCCAGCATTTGCCCTGCAGTAATTAAGTGACACCAATGCTCAGAATCAAATGAATTTCATCCGTTTTTTGTCGCAACCATCATCATCATAGTAATACTAACATAATGATAATGATAATAATCATCATCATCATCGTGATCATCAGCAAACCTTAATTTTCATCCGAGTTATCATCAATTAAGTACCATCTACAAAGTGGCTCCTTGCCGTTTACAAGCTGGTTTGTAAACCCACCTAATTGCAGATGTATATCCACCATATACCCTGATTGGTATGTAGTTGTTTCACCAATTCAAACCTACCCTCTGGTAATTTAACATAACTATGGAAAATCACCATTTTTAATGGGAAAACTCACTATAAATGGCCATTTTCAATAGCTTTTTGTATGTTTACCAGAGGGTATATCTTTGTAGGCTCCACACTATTGTACTAAACATAACATCCCGTGAGAAGAAATCCATTCTCGCCATGCGAGCAAGCTGCCTTGGTATTGCATCACCCATTGCTCAGGTTGCCCACGGTGATCTCGGATGCCACGCTGAAATTTATCTGGGTAAATTACAACGACCTCATTGCGACCTCACTGGAAATCATTGTTAATAAGGGGACTCATCCCCAAATGGCCTTAATTCATGTTAGTGAATTATTATAATTTGCCCAGATTTATAGCGGGGAAAAGATTGTTTCCATCAATGGATTGGATTCAGGGAAAATTGGAACCGGAAACATTGGAAACCTCCACTTTTCTGTGGAAAAGCACAATCGTTTCTTAAGGTGTTCTGTTCATTCAATGCGTCCAAGGGAGCAGTGACAGCACAACTCTGGTTGATATCGGGTTACTTGATGGGATCTAATTATCACTTATAGATTGTTTATAGATGCCCCAAAAAAGTACTGTACACATGATACAGTATCATTGATAAATGATGGTTGATAGTGATACATTATTTCGGGGGTTATATCAACCTAGTTTATCCTAGTTTATTGGGGATTTTGTGACCCATTATGTGAATCCCTAGTAAGAAACCAGTAGGAAAAAAGGGGATAGAGGGCAAGTGAGGGAATGTAAATGAAAAACATGATGAACATTGAGTAAGTTGTGCCATGTTATTGCTTCTTGGACCTTTCAATCTTATTCTTACTCTTGTGTGAAATGACAAATCATATGTCTTCTTGTTCGTGAAAGTAGTGATTCTCCCATCCGTTGATCATCCAAATCAACTTAAGTTGAAACCACCACCAACTCAGCAAAAAATCTGAACTCAGCATGTTTTGCTTAGACTTAAACTGATTGGTGGTGACTGGAACATGACTGGATGACATGACTTTCCATATAGGAATGTCATGGAATGTCATCATCCCAACTGACGAACTCACTCCATCATTTTTCAGAGGGGTAGGGCTTTTCCCAACCACCAAGCAGTTTAAATATGTGTTTCCATCTGACAGGAACGTCGCGCTGCGGAACGACTTCATCTTTGGGCCATCATCAGGAACAGTGTCCTACTGGCGGCTCTGGCTATTCTGGCAACCCTGCATGGCTTGAGACTCTCCGGCCCACTGGTCACTTGGAAAAAGGTGGATTTTATGGAGATTTATGTGGTGATTTGTGGTGGCATTTTATGGGGATATCTTGGGGATAAAACGGGATATAGCCAAGAATTCTAGTCTAACATGGTCTAACTGTCTAACTGAAAATGTTGGGAAGCCCCACACAAATTCAACGCTTTGGAACCTCATGGTTCCTATTTGGAATGCCATAAATTGGAGGGTATATCACGTTTGCAGAACAGCAGATCTGCGCGGTAGCTCCAACAGGGGGGAATTCCAGATCTTTTGGGCTGAAAGTTGTTGGATTTCAGAATTTCCAACGGTTGAGAACCTTGTTTTCCTCATCAAATCATTGTGCAACTTTTGGGGAGGCCCTTTTTAAACCATTTTCAGACACAGCCATTGGCCTTTTTTTAGTGGTGGTGGTGATAACTCATCGGACGAAAAGGTGGTGAAAATCTCACTCTTCTGGCAAAACAGCTGGGAGTCCTGCGACGTTTGGTGATCTTTGACCTATACAGAAACATGAGTAGATCATAGCATATACCCTCTGGTTATTTAACATAGCCATGGGAAATGGCCCATTTATAGATGGTTTACCTATTAAAAATGGTGATTTTCCATGGCTATGTTAAATAACCAGATGGTACATCGTATATATAATGGCGAACCACATATATACTGTGATGAAACTTGTTTATCGTCCATGGTTGATGAACACCACATATAGTACTTTCTTGTGTGGGGTCTTAGTGTTCCAGAATTGGTTCGAGGGAACATCTTCTCCACCTACAGATTCTTGTTGCTCGAATTAGCGATTGGTGGTTGTTTGAAGGGTTATGACTTCCACCACTAACCACAAACTCAAAATCTCACAACACTTAAGTCAAGTGTAATTAAACCCAATCATAAACTAATTCCCCCCCAATTTTTACCAGATAAGTGGCATAAACCATCTCCCAAAAGGTTGTTCATTGGCTTTACGACTTTTTTGCGAGGATAATCATCCTCCATCATAGTGATATCAATATCTCGTATATACCCATAAAAGCATGAAATCTCATAGCATATATGTACGTATATGTATATATATATATATATTAGTTCCCCATTCACTAACAACCCATCAACTCACAGACAATCCTCATTAGATCCCATTAGATTCCATAGAATCCCGTTACAGCCCACTCCCATCAACTCTCAAATTATCATCATTAGATTTCATTAAATCCCCATTAGATCCCATAAAAGTCCGATTCAATCCCATTAAAAATCATTAAAATCCCATCAAGTCGCATTTCGATCCAATGAAGCCCCGGTGAAATCCCATGAAAAACCATTCACATATGATCAAAATTCATCAAAAATCACATGAAATCCCATAAAGTCCCAGTGAAATCCCAGTGAATTCAGCATCATCCCCAGTGAAACGTCCAGGATTTTTGTATATTTTTGTTGCCCCAGGCCATCTTGGTGGGTGCGTCACACGCCATCACACGCCACGATGTCTTGCGTCGGAAATGTTAGGCGAAACCCATGGGGAAGCCACGGACAAAAAGTCAAAATCCATCAAACTCACCAAGCCAAATGCTGATTTAATCAACCGATATATATATATGATATGCTGATTTCACCATCCAAATGTTCTGATTTATGATATTTATGCTCATTTGACCATTCAAAATGGTGATAAGAATGAGCCAAGAACCAATGAAGATGGTGATTTAACATGACTTAACCATACAACATACGTCAACCGTTGTAGGAATTGAGCTTCCAAATATGGGATTGCATAGTTTACTAATCATCAAACATAGTGGTTTAAAGCAGCAAATTCGGACTTCAACGGTTGTTTTTAGCAGTGTCTTTTCTCTTTCTGTAAATGGAGGGACAATATAAGCAAAGACATGAAATTGTTACAGTTTATCCAAGATAAAGCATTAGCTATGGGAAACAATACTCCAAGCCGGTGGTTCAGTGTTATCGGCAAGTCATCATGTTCATAGATGTTCCCTCATGTTCCGACAAACCCACATACAATATATATATACAGTATATATATATATATGTACAGTATATATATATATATGATGTAATATGATGTAATAGGATATATATGTGTATATACATATAATATGATATATATATATATTACAATACACTAATAAATACATATTTTCCTATATATTGGTGTATCTGGTGTGCTGGTGGATTTCCAGACCTTCAAGGGACCGGTTTAAAAAAAACTGATTGCCGCGTGATCAGTTGGTGCTTGGCACTTTTCGCGCCAGTGGTGGACTGTTTAAGGCGCATGACAAAAAATACCAAAAGCAATGACTTCAATGGAGGTCATATTGTGCTCAGATCGTTTCTTTGTTTTTGCCTTCATGCTGCGGAAACAGAAGCTGAAACGCATGACATGGAGCGAATTCTGCATGTAAGATCATGCACATCTGCAGAACAAATCGATAAAATTTGCTGGAGGTCTCAGACGGAGTCGCGATAACCCCTCAGGGGTACGGTAGCATGCTGTGCTGAATGTTGGGGTTTCAATTCTCTGAAACATGAAGAAGTCCCATTTAGCATGTCATGACCAACAAACAAACGGAGTCTGCAGTGTTGTTTGCATGTCAAGTGCCTTTTGTCTGAGATGCTACAGCTTCAAACCGGTGAACTGTGCTAAACTTCTCACTGGTAGATGGTCGGAGCCACTGGGTAGAAATACTTGACGAAGATTTGGAGATGGGATGGGTAAATACAAAAGACCAATTTTTGCAGCTCCATCCAATAAGCAAAATATATATTATTATTTTTTGCGAAGCTTTGCAATGTAGCTATGCACATCAAATAAGTAGATTCCATGTTTCGTCTCGTTGTCAGATGTTCTTGGAATCTATAATCTCTTGAGCACTTTTCAGCTCTCATTTTTGAGGATGATCCTTGTAACACTTGTGGAGCCTGATCATGAGCGGAATGGAAGAATGCGGCGACCCTTGGTCGTTGCAGGTCGTTGCAGGTCGTTGCACCTACCGTCTCCGCTCTTCCAAGATGATTTGACATTGCAACGAGATGACCAGTTTCAAACACCATCCTTATAGTTGCTGGATGATTACTTCCGGTTATCCTACCAAAATATATTAGAGATTACAAGGAGGGGCCCTCCAGTTATAAATTTCTAGACCCAGTTACAAGTACCAGAAACGCCAGAGGCCATAGTCATTGGAGTTAATAAACTGACAGAAATGCAAACTATATCATAATATATCCTAATCCTCTGACAGTATCACCATATCACCATGAACTGACCACGAACTAAATTGGAGCCATGGCCTAGAAAGAACTCGCAGTTTTTTGCGATTTTAAGATAGTCCGGCTGCCACGGTGTAAAGTAAATACTGGAAACCACAATAGAACCATGGTGAAGTGTATTGGATCTATGAAACTGCTCATCTTGGGTCCCTTGAGGTTTTATTGTATATTACCCTCTGGCAACTTAACAGTTTGCGACATAGAAAGTGGCCCAGTCGAAATAGTGGATTTACCCATTGAAAATGGTGATTTTCCATACTTATGTAAACGTTTACCAGAGGGTATCGGGAACGTTTCGCAAACTCTGAGCATTTTGGGAACCTGGCTTCAAAGATGGTGATCCAACCAACTTCAGGGCTTGCGAAAAAAACTGTCTATTCTGAAGGCCTAGCTGACCATTTATGAATCTTATTAACATTTATGAACCACGATTACACCATCTTTCCGGTAGATTGCAGCAAAAATCCATGGGAATCCATCTCTGAAGGCCATTTTGTTGTGGATTTTCCCTAGAGAATCCCTTGATTCATGTTGTTTCTGGTTGTTTGGTGGTTATATACTCAAAATATCTCTAAATCAATCCATTCAGAAATTCAGACATGGTTGTTTCTCAAAGGATTATCCATGAATTGCGTATATAAATCCCATCCAGTCATGCCAGCAATATTGAATCATTGAATCATTGAATCATGACTGGGTGGAAATGTATAACTTAGCATAAACATATCATTGCATATCAAGGAGATTGAATTTCATTTTTTTTGTTGTTTTACCCACATACTGCATATAACATATATACATTTCATATATGTGTGTATGTATATATATATATCATATATGTGATTGTTATACATATACATATATCAGCCCTATAGAATTGAGTCATGTTTCGTCATTTCTGAAGAAATCATCTTGGAGAGCTTTTGCTCGAGGCCAAACAAATCTTCCGCGTCCGAGGGTGCAGTAGTTTGGCAGCGGTCGATCATCAGACGGATCTCAAAAATCACATGTGAGATTTAGCCAGCAAAAATGAGGATCAATGTGTAATATGTTTGTTTGACGTGTATATATAGCCAACAAACATCCAGGTGAATTGGTTTTGAAAGACAATAAGTGGTCCACAATGGATAAATTTGCAGTTGGATTCAGTTAGATGGGGACAAAAAACTGAAAACTTGGGGGGGAACCAGTTTTTGTCATTGTATGGCTGGACATTGGGAACCTTGCCATTCACATGGATACATGTTTGGAACCTTAGATCACCAAACTTTGTGGGTCTGATCTCTGACCTGCTATGAAGGGGTCTGAAATTAAACATGGCTCGGCAAAACGACTTGTGTTGGAAGGCAAATCACCCTATAGTTTGGATGATATCTATGAAACATATTGTGCAAGTGACAATCTCATGAGTCGTTATCCAGTCATCAATCCATTTTTTCATAGAGATTTAGACTTAGATTTACCCAATGTGTTTGGATTTTGGATTCCTATGGAATGGGATGGAGGCACCTTGAGGACTATGAGCTATAGTATATGTGGGTAATATTGTCAGTGACTCATGCGCTGGCCAGTGTTTCCATGATGGTTCAATACCTCTGAAAGAAATAACCTAAGCGGAAGCCCCAAAAAGATGGACGTATCATCACACTAGAATAGTGGTAAATTATACTCTTGTTTTTTTGTTTCTATTGTTTCTGGGGTGGTAATTACACTGCATGATAGACAGTTTTTGCAGATACATGAACAGAAAGCCGCGAGGTGATTTATCCGGAACGTTGAGAAAGGTTGAAGGGAAACATTGTGTGTTTAACAAGCGGTGTTTTCCCAACATTTTCAGTCAAACCTATCCCAGTAATATCCCATATTTTCCCAGTCCCGAATTCAGATCATGTAATATCCCATGAACCAACCATTTAAATCCCATGAACTTTGTTGGTGAAAATCACCATTTTAGATGCTTGCTCCCACGGCTTGCCGTCCTCCGTGTCAGGATGCTCCACCGCTGAAATTCGAAGCGCACAGTTTTTTCGCCCGCCCGTGTTGGTGGCCAGGTTGATGTGGCTTTTGGTGCTCCTGGAGCCGCGGTAAAAAGTCAGAATCTGCTGGAAATCGGAACAAAATTATCCGAGAGATCCCCTGAAACACTATTCTGCCACAGTTTCTGACATACCATCTGGAAGTATATATATATATGGCATGATTTCTGACATTCTATCTGACATTCTTTCTGGCATTCTATTTGGCACCTATCCTGTCATAATTTTTTGGCTGGCATTCTTTCTGACATTCTCTCTGGCATCTGGCTGAGGTCCGGCATAGCCCACTGCGATTTGGCGCTCGCTGTTTAGGTCCGGCAGTGCCAACAAAACCTAGAGACACTCACCTGGCCGGTGGGGAAAACATGTCCATTTGCTAATAGAAAGCGTGATGATCTAATTTGATACATTTGAATTGAAAATGTCTAGATCCATCCTGGGAAGGTGGATCAACATGTCCAGAAACTGAGCAGCTTGGAGATGAGAATTTGTCGGCTACCAGCTGGATCATCGGATCAGCCTGAGACAGAACCCTTTCCCAAGATGACAAAGTGTCATTCTGATGTGGGGTTTCTCGACTGGGTTTCTACCACAGTCATGCCGCCTGCGGATGCTACGGCTAAAAAAGTACAGGGTGCACGTTGCCTAGCGGGATTCATGTTTGTTTATTTCCCAAAAAATCAAGTGGGATGTGGCTTGACTAAAGACCTCTGAACGAGTCATCTTGGAAGAGATTGGGTGTACCAAATATATTCTATCTGATTGTTGGTTTGAAGCATCTTTGATTTATATAAATACTTAGATGTGATGTTGATGATCCCACTTGTTTACGATTATGTGTGCGTTGGGTTGAAAGCACTATCCAGAAATTGCTTTGTTTTCTTTCCCAACCTGGTGTCCAAGGCCTAGGCTTTTAGGAGGCTAACTTCGAAGTTCTCCTTGCAGTGTGGCAATGTGCAACTTCCTCCAATTTTGGTGCAGCCAAACTGCTGCAAGACTGATGATGTGCATGAAAAAAGTCAGCAGTTGGCAGCTTCGTTGCAGGTTTTTTGTTTTCCGCGCTGCGATCTCCTGCCGAACCTGCAAGTGCTTCGCATAACAATTACATACACCGGTTCTCTTGAAGGGAAGGGCATGAGCACCTGTCCAACTGTGAAGGATGAGTAGCCCCTAATGCATGTAATTGCATAGCAATCTTGGGGATAAGAATTGTTCCCAACTGCAGTTTCTTTTTATCTCAGGCCGCTG